TCACGCTGTCTCTCTCTCTCTCCTAGAGATAAATAAAACATTAAAAAAAATTAAAAAAAAAAAAAAAAAGTCTTAAAGCCTTGAGGACGGACCGCTCTTGAATGGGATTTAGTGCTCATAGAAGAAGCCCCGGGAGAGGCTCCTCGCTCTTCCCTCCATGTGAGGACACAGCACGAGGCGGGCCCTTACCAGATGCTAAAGCCACTGCTGCCTTGATCTTGAGTCCCAGCCTCCAAAACTATGAGAAATGTGTGCTGTTTGAGCCCCCCAGTCCGTGGTATTTGTTACAGCAGCCCAGACAGACATACAGGTATAGAGAAACTTGTACATCTAACAGATCACAGTCTCAAATCCTAAACACAACAACTACCGATGAACTCTGATTTATTTGCTCTGCAAACAAGGAGGCAGAGCTCAGGAATGTTAAGTGAGCAGCAGCGCCTGAGGGGCTCGGTCCGTTCCCCCCGACTTTGGCTCTGGTCACCATCTCGCTGTTCAGGCGCTGGAGCCCCGCATCTGGCTCTGTGCGGACAGCTCAGAGCCTGGAGCCTGCTTCAGATTCTGGGTCTCCCCCCAGCCACCCCCTTCGCCTGTCTGCCCGCCTGCTCACACTCTGTCTCTCTCGCTCTCAAAAGTAAATAAACATTGATGGGGCGCCTGGGTGGCTCAGTTGGTTGAGCGTCCGACTTCAGCTCAGGTCATGATCTCACGGTTTGTGGGTTCGAGCCCCGCATCAGGCTCTGTGCTGACAGCTCAGCCTGCTTCGGATTCTGTGTCTCCCTGTCTCTCTGCCTCTCCCCTGCTCGTGCTCTGTCTCAAAAATAAAGAGGCATAAATATTTTTTTTAAAAAGTACATCAACATTAGAAAAAAATGTGTTAAGTGATTAGCCTGAGGCCGCCAGGTTCACAGGTCCCCAAACCGGGGCTCTAAGCCATCCATCCCACTCTGTGCACTGTGCCTGTGTTTATCCTCTGGGCATCTCTCTGAGATCAGAAACCAGAGGACACAGCTCTTTCTTGTTTGACCTCCACTGGTTACAGGCAATTACAGGCAATGCCAATGTTGGCCGCTAGTGCACTTGCTTGAATACCTAGACTTTTTTTTTTATGACTTGGAGATTTCACAAACATGGGATCCGCATAGGGAGGCTTAACTGTGTCTTTTCGTGTCTATTTTCTTACTCTGGGGTGTGACCCCACGAGGACTAGAATGTTCACGGCTAACTCCCCAGTCCCTAGGAAAGAACCTGGGACACAGTAGGCACTTGGTAAATGCCTCTTGAATGTACAAAGGCATGGAGAGAGAAGATGAGTGAGTATGTGCCATCTCTTTGATCCTTACAACAATATAAGGAGGAAAATGTGGCCCAGAGAGGGTGAGCCACTTGCTCCAAGTTGCTCAGCCAACAAGAGATGGCAGGCTGGGGGGGGTTGGGGGGCCGCCGGCAGGGGGAAAGGGGGGAGGTGTCTCTCTTATCATGGCCTTGCTGTGTGATCTCAGTGCAATCAGTTCACCCCTCTGAGCCTTGGTTTGCCAACATGAGGGATTCTTTTTTTTTTTTTTTAAATATTTTTATTTATTTCTAGGAGAGAGAGAGATAGACAGCGTGAGCAGGGGAGGGTCAGAGAGAGAGGGAGTCATAGACTGAAACAGGCTCCAGGCTCTGAGCTGGCAGTCAGCACAGAGCCCAACGTGGGGCTCGAACCCACGAACCGTGAGATCATGACCTAAGCGAAAGTCGGACACTTAACCAACTAAGCCACCCAGGCGCCCCTGGAAACTTCTTTTATCTCTACCCCCTCCCCCAGGATACATGTTGGCAATCATACTCCAAGTTTATGGCTCCCTGATATACATCTGAAGGGTCTCATGACTCAGCTTTTAATAGACAGTAATAAATGACCTTTTCCTAATAGTGGTGGGCCCCTCAAGGTCCGGGAAACCTTGTTTACAAAATACTTTAAGAGACTTATTCCATGCCTGCTCCCCTCCCGACCTGAAGGTGTCTAATCAGTCGCTTGTCACAGCCCCAGTGCAGGTCTTTCTGCCGACGGGTCTTGTTCCCGTGCTTTAAAAACTTTTTTTTTTTATGTTTTATTTATTTCTAGGAGAGAGAGAGAGACAGCGTGAGCAGGGGAGGGTCAGAGAGAGAGGGAGACACAGACTCTGAAACAGGCTCCAGGCTCTGAGCTGGCAGTCAGCACAGAGCCCAACGCGGGGCTCGAACCCACGAACCGCGAGATCATGACTTAAGCGAAAGTCGGACGCTCAACCGACTAAGCCACCCAGGCGCCCCGCCAACATGAGGGATTCTTATGAAATGTGCTTATTAACGCTGATGTCCCTTTACTCTCAGAGTTACCACACCAAGATCTAAATGCCACGTGGGAGAGTCTATCTTCATAGTCATCAGCAAAGGGAGGGGTGGGAGGAAGGAGGCTGTTTGCCCAAGATAGTTCTGGTAATTAAGAGGCTGAGTGGATGACCTTACTCTATAATGGTGGTGATCACTGTCGGCATTCCCATTCTAGAAATGTAGGCACTGAGGCTTGAAGAGGTGAAGGCACAGGCCCCCCCCCCCCCCCCCGCAGGGAAAGAACAGAGTCCAGATAAAAGCCGCGGGGGCTAAAGATTCCAGAACTATAGCATTCCATCCAGTGGACAGAGAAGGGGATGGGGAAGACAAAGGGGAAACTGAGGCACGGGAGGAAGGGACAGGAAACCAGGGAGAGGGCTGGCGCCAGTGGAGAATGGCCTTGGGCCTCATGACTCACGGTAGCCAGCGTTGTTGATCACACAATCCAGGCGGCCAAAGCGGCGGACGGTCTCAGAAACGAGGACCTGATGACAAAGACGTCTTGTGAGAGAGAGCTGCGCGGGCACCCAGGCTTGACGAGCCTGGACTCCCAAATGCAAGGCGAGGCGGGGGAAGCTGGAGTCACAGCCAAGGGGACAGGAAGTGGGGGACTCCCCCAAATCACTAGGCATGGCAGAAGAGACAGGAAGCCAGGGGTACCAGAGAGCAGAGGGCTGGGTACATTCACACTGCACTCCATTAGCCCAGAGGCCTGGGTGAGGGGTTCTGGGGTGGGGGTGGGGTGCTGGTGGTGAGGTCATCAGAGAGACACTGACTAAAGGGAAGGCATAGAGGGGCAACCTAGGTGGTTCACTTGGTTAAACGTCTGACTCTTACGGCTCAGGTCATGATCTCTTGGTTCTTGGGTTCGAGCCCAGCGTCAGCGCAGAGCTTGCTTGGGATCCTCCCTCCCTCTTTCTCTCTGCCCTTCCCATGCTTGTGCTCTCTCTCTTTCTCAAAATAAGTAAGTTAACTTAAAACACCCAGGGACACGGGGCACTTGGGTGGTTCAGTCGGTTAAATGCCCGACTTCAACTCAGGTCATGATCTTGTGGTTTGTGGGTTCGAGCCCCGCGTCGGGCTCTGTGCTGACAGCTCAGAGCCTGGAGCCTGCTTCAGATTCTGTGTCTTCCTCTCTCCCCGCCCCTCCCCCACTCGCACTCTGTCTCTGTCTCTGTCTCTCTCTCTCAAAAATAAATAAAGATTTAAAAAATTTTAAAAAGAAACTTGAAAACAGGGACAGAAGAGAAAAACTCTTACAGATGGAGATCCAATGAGGGGTTTTTGTTCTGATCTACGTGACAGGTATGACAAGAGCCTTGAAGAAGTAAGAGATAAAGGAGAGCCTTCCCAGGAGACCTAGAACCTGGCCAGCAGAATGAGAGACAGCCTCAATATGAGGCTGAGTTGAAATCTTTGTGACCAGGCAGGGAGCAGAACCGCTCACCCTCATGTCTTCCTCCTGGGTCACATCACATTGAAGAAAGATCGTTCCAGCAAGCTCCTGCTCCAGGGCCCGGCCCCCGGACTCTGCAGGGAGAGAAGGGCTGGGGGTCCTGGCTCCTGGGACTGAGGCAGGAGGGGCTGGGGGCCAGGACTCCTGGGGCTGAGGGAGGAGGGGCTGGGGGCCAGGACTCCTGGGGCTGAGGGAGGAGGGACGGGGGATGAGGACTGAGGGACGTTCACTCACCATCTTTGTCGCAGATAACCACTTGAGCCCCGCTTTGCACTGAGAATAGAACAGGTTACTCCAGCACAGACCTTGGCAAAGGCCTCTGCTGCCCTCTGGTGGCCACCTGGAGTGGGAACCTATCCTATCTCCCCATCGAGTCCCCCTCGTGACCAGTCTCATGATGATCCTCTAGAGCAAAGGACAGAAGACTTGACACATACTCTCCTTGGCCACTCCAGATGCCTGCTGGGCTTTCCCAAGCCCCCATCCCTGGGTTCCAGAATAAAGCCGAAACCTTGCAAGCGACATTCCCCAACCACCGACTTTGTAGTTACAGTAACTGAGACCCAGAGAAAGCAAGGAACCAGTTTTGGAGCCCCGCCAAAGGCTCAGGCCGCAGGCTAACACTGCCTACCCTTTCATTAGCATTGCAAACTGAGTTTTTATAGGATATAAATCTCCACTTAAGATCCCTACCCCCACTCGTTCCCAGGGTCTCTCCTCTCCCAGATTCCAATATTCCCCGCACAGCCAGACCCCCTACTCACCGAAGGCTCTCACAATCCCGGCTCCGATGCCGCGCCCGCCCCCTGTCACAACCACCACCTTCCCGGCATAGCGCGTTCCCGTGGCCATTCTGCTTCTGTCCGTCTCCGTGTCACTCGCTAGGTGCTTCTTTCCACCTCCAGAGTCAGGGTGAGGCCGTGGAGTCAGACCATAAATAGGGGTTGTATCCTGGAAGCCCGGCCCTGAGGGGGCGTTGCCGGGAAGGGCAGAAGCCTGCAAGTGGGGCCCCAGCCCCCTCCTCCCTCAGCCCCAGAAATCCAGGCTCGAGTTGCCTCCTTTTTCAGACCACCAGGTTCGAGGCCCCCCGTCTCTCCTCAGGATGCAGGAGTCCACGACTCCAGCTCTGTCCCTAAGAGACCCCAGTATCATAATCCCAAACAGACAGAGAGAGAGAGCTATTGACTAGAAGTTCAACGTTTTAATCCGAATTTGGACAAGTATTGGGAAAAATCAAACTTCGGCCATATAAACTCCTCCCTGGGCCTCCACGGGGGCCAGACCACGCCCCCACGGCGCCCTGAGTGGCTCCAGATTTCCAGGAGGTGCCTCCAGGCCACGCCCTCACGCTCCGATTGGCTGCGGCGCCTAGGTCAGAAGCTGGACTGCAGCAGGGTGACCCGCAGAGGCCACGCCCCCTCCTCTAGGGTCAGGGCGGGAGGGGCGGTCCCGGATTCCCACGTGGGCTCCCAAGAGGCGGGGCCTGCGCCACGCCCACCACCTCGGTGGGAGCACCCTGCAGAGCTGGAATTACTGGAATTAGCCACTGGAGATCTCGGGGGCGAGGTCACCTGGGGAGTGGGTTCTGACGGAGGCGGTGGCGCCGGGGGAAGAGGGTCTCCTCGGGAGTCCAAATTTCCACCTGGATAGCACGAGTGGGGGATGAGAATGGCAAACTTTGGGACACAGGAGTCCGGACCCCTAGGCCTTTCCTTTCAGACCCTGGAGTCCAGTCCCCACCCCTTCCTCCCTCAGACCCACAGGTCTGGCCCCATCCACCTCCTCCCCCAGACCCAGGAGTCCTGAAACCCTGTCCCCTCCTTCCTGGGATCTGGAACTTCTGAGCCCTCAACTTTCTTCATCAAGACCAAGGATTCCCTTGGGGCGGCTGGGTGGCCCAGTAGATTAAGCGGCCGATTTCGGCTCAGCTCATGATCTCACAGTTGCGTGGTTTCCAGCCCCGCATCGGGCTCTGTGCTGACAGCTCGGAGCCTGGAGCCCTACTTTGGATTCTGTGTCTCCCTCTCTCTCTGCCCCTTCACACTTTGTCTCTCTCTCTTTCTCAAAAATAAACAAACATTGAAAAAAAAAAAAAGACAAAGACAAAGGATTCCCAGCAGCCTCAGACCCCTCCCCACCTGGACCAAAGATTCCAGGCTCTGGCTGCCTCTTCCCCAAGACCCAAGAGTCCAAGACCCCCAGCCCCTCCTCACCTGTCATCATTCTGTGCCATTGCGACGCCTCAGTGGCCAGAGCTTGAGAGAGGCTGAGGACTCTCTCCCGGTGACCTTCGGCTGTTGGCAAATAAGGGGCGATGGTCCTTGGACTGGAAACAAAGAGATTTGCGGGGGGGCATCTAACCACAGCGCCACGCGGGTCCTTCTGGGAGTTGTAGTCCCTAGCACGTGTCTCTAAAGGGCTTCAAACAGGGCTTGCATTATGGGATTTGTAGACTATTCCCCCCTAAGTTTCACTTGCTTTCCTAACGCAGAAGCAGAGTTTCGTCTCGATCCAGTTCTGCCGTCTGGGAAACTCCAGTTCTCACTGTGGATCCTGGCCTTTCTGATGCCCCGGGAGCCCAAGCATCTCTCAAAGCCCCTGCAGTCTGTACCTTAGTACTCAAGAGACAACAGCCTTGGGCAAGCTGCATTTCTGCTACTTCCCTTCCCAGTTCCTCACCTGCTCCAGGATCCAGAGCTTCTGAGCCATTTGGGGGCCCCTGAGTGTCCCTGGAAAGGCTGTAAAGGAATTGCGGCATTACAGTTCCTCACCTGGAAGTCCCCACGGTCGGATTTTGAGTATGAAATGAAGGGGCTCAGAGAGGGAATGAAATTGCCTCCTGAGGCACTAACAGCAAGGGTTAAAAAGACAAGGCCAGAAACAGGCCCTCCAAATTCACAGTTTATGCCTCGTAACGGATTAGCTGAGGCTAATTAGTTCGTCCCCTCTAAAACTAACTAGACACAGAGATAAACCTCTGGTGTTCAGCTGAGACGCCTTCTGATTACAAGCACAATCCCAGCAGTAAAATCACCCGCCTAGGACTTGTCTAATTCCTCCTAGGAAAGTCTCACACATCATGCTGAGACTCTGTGATCTTCCACTCGCTTGGGAATGCTCTCCCCTTGTCAACAGTATGAATACAATCATTTCCTTACTCGCTCACTTTATTTCTCCCTTGGATCACGCAGAGTAACTAAAACAGAAAAGCTGGACCCATGCTCCAGACCTGTGACCCCCATTCTGAAGGAAGAATGACACTGATGAAGAGAAGCTGTCTCTGCCTCCCCTCATCCCCACCCCGTTAGGGGAGCCATCGCATCGGCACACAGATCAGGGGTGAGTCTGGAAACCCAGTTCTGGGTAAAGAGGTAGTGGAAATCCCCATTTTACAGAGAAGGAAATCGAGGCTCAAACTAGAAGCAGAGGATCCATTACCACCCCACCTCGCACCCTCCGTTCCCCTCACTCTTTGTTCTGTGTCAGGCTGGCGTCTGGCCGGGGACAGTGTCCTCCCCAGGGTGAGGCGCCGGGGGGAAGCAGGGCGAGGGAGAGGCCGTCCAAACTCCTGGTTTCTGCGCATTCTCTCCATCTGCTCCTGGGCACTCATCCGAGGCCGGGCGAGGGGCCCCTGGGGAGACGAGGAACACCTGAGGCCCAGCCTTGCTGCTCCCCTAAATCTCTTCCCTGAGCCTCTTGGCCTCCAGTCTCACCCTCTACCATGAAGTTCACTGCCAGATGCAGAGCAGTCTTCCTGCACCCAGAGCTGACTCGGTCCTCCGGTGGCGCCGAGCACCCTCAGGATGTTTAAGGGCCAACCCACCTCTCTGGCTTCAATTCCATCAGCTGCCCTGTTTGAATCCAAACCCCCAGCCCGCCAAGCACCCACACTTCCTGGACATATCCAGCTTTTTTTTTTTTTTTTTAATATTTTAACATTGTTTTATTTATATGTTTACTTATTTTATTTTTATTTATTTCTAGGAGAGAGAGAGAGAGAGACAGCGTGAGCAGGGGAGGGTCAGAGAGAGAGGGAGACACAGACTCCGAAATAGGCTCCAGGCTTTGAGCTGGCAGTCAGCACAGAGCCCGATGCGGGGCTCGAACCTACAAACCGCGAGATCATGACCTAAGCGAAAGTCAGACGCTTAACCGACTAAGCCACCTAGGCGTCCCTATGTTTACTTATTTTTGAGAGAGAGACAGAGTGTGAGCGGGGGAGAGGCAGAGAGAGAGACACAGAATGCGAAGCAGGCTCCAGGCTTGGAGTAGTCAGCACAGAGCCTGATGTGGGGCTTGAACTCATGAACTATGAGATCATGACCTGAGCTGAAGTCAGATGCTTAACTGACTAAGCCACCTAGGCGCCCCCGTACCCAGCTTTTTGGCTCTAGTAGTCCAGATTCTGGGTTGTTTATGATGAGAAACAACTATTATTATTATTGTTATTATTATTATTAGTCTTTATTTTTGACAGAGAAGCAGAGTACACGTAGGGGAGGAATAGAGAGAGAGGGAGACACAGAACCCGAAGCAGGCTCTAGGGCTCTGAGACATCAGCACAGAGCCTGACGCAGGGCTCGAACTCACGAACCTCATGTTTATGACCTGAGCTGAGGTCAGACGCTTAACCGACTGAGCCCCCCAGGTGCCCTGAGAAACAACTCTTGAGTCAGCTTAGACACAACAGAAGGAAGAATGAGATGTATTTAAACAATTTTTTTTTAATGTTTATTTTGAGAGAGAGAGTGAACAAGTGGGGGAAGGGCCAGAGAGGAGAAGAATCCCAAGCAGGTTCCGTGCTGTCAGTGCAGAGCCCAGCACGGGGCTCGATCCCATGAACCATGAGATCACGATTGGAGCTGAAACCAAGAGTCAGATGCTCAACCGAGTGAACCACCCAGGCGCTCCAAGAAGGAGATGCATTAACTAAATCGTCAAGAGGGTCAATTTGGTGGGGCGCCTGGGTGGCTCAGTCGGTTAAGTGTCCAACTTCAGCTCAGGTCATGATCTCCTGGTTCGTGGGTTCGAGCCCCGCGTCGGGCTCTGTGCTGACAGCTAGCTCAGAGCCTGGAGACTGTCTTTGGATTCTGTATCTCTCTCTCTCTCTGACCCTCCCCTGCTCGCGCTGTCTCTCTCTGACTCTCAAAAATAAATAAAAAACATTTTTAAAAATTATTAAAAAAAAAAAAAAAAAGAGGATCGATTTGGGTTGGCCTTTGAAAGGACTTGGTGAGCTCTCTCTGGCCCAAACCAGACACCACCCGCACTGAGAGAATCCCACGTGATAACACGTCATCCCCCGCAAGGAACCACCAGAAGCTAGGATGGGGGCCTCCAGCAGATCCTGGCAGCTTCAGAGGGCGCAAGACCCTGCTCACACCTTGATCATGGACTTCTAGCCTGAAGAACTTAAAACGCAAGAGGACAGAGATAAATCAAAGAGGTTGGGGGGAAGTGCACTAAAAAGAAACCAGAAGTCTGGAGAGAACCCCAAGGGTGTGGCCAGACAACACCCGTTTTGCTAAGAGATTAGGCATGTGACGTGTGGATCCAGGAAACCATCTCAGCGGGGACGCTGCCAGCTTGAACCAGAGGGGACAGAGAGGGGCCCAGATGCAGGAAGGCTGTCAGACTGCTCGGCTGCTCTGGGCAGGAAACAGGCCGACAGGGCTCTCCAGCTACACACACGTGCTCCCCTTCAGGAAAGGGGGCCGTGGGGACACGGACACGCACACGGAGCATGCCACGTGATGGCTGGTGTTCTCCTGCCACCCGTCAAGGGACTGGGAGGTGCCTGGAAAAGACCCTTCCTTGGTGCCTTCGGGCCCTGGTGACAACGCCCTGATTTTGGACTCGAAGACCATGAATGTATGGCTTAAGCAAACAAACACATAAGCCAACAAACAAAATCAGAGGGAAGAAAACTCTCAGCAGCAGCCTCTGGCTAGAAAATTCTAGGGAGAAGGGGCACCTGGGTAGCTCAGGTCATGATCTCACAGTTTATGGGTTTGAGCCCTGCATTGGGCGCTGTGCTCCCAGCATGGAGCCTGCTTGGGATTCTCTCTCTCTCTCTCTCTCTCTCTCTCTCTACCTCCCTCCCTCCCCTGCTCAGGTGCTCTCTCTCAAAATAAATAGACATTAAAAAACTCGGGGCGCCTGGGTGGCTTAGTCGGTTAAGCGTCCGACTTTCGCTTAGGTCATGATGTCGCGGTTCGTGGGTTTGAGCCCCGCGTCGGGCTCTGTGCTGACTGCCAGCTCGGAGCCTAGAGCCTATTTCAGAGTCTGTATCTCCCTCTCTCTTTGACCCTCCCCGGCTCACGCTGTCTCTCTCTCTCTCTCTCTCCTAGAAATAAATAAAATTAAAAAAAAAAAAAAACAAACAAACAGAAGAACATAGCCCAAATAGGCAGGTAATTTTAGCCACTTACACACAGCCTGCCTGCTTTGAGTACTCCAGGGGACAGTGCCCAAAGCCAACAGCTGCTAGCCACAGATAAGATAAAAACTCGTAGCTAGGAAAGACCCCAGGCGGCTGCTGCCCTCAGGAGGTCTCTGACCCCAACACGCCATCCATCGGGGGCTTCTGGGCCTGTGGCCTCCAGGCAGTGACCTCTGGAGTGTCCCATCCTGTGAGGCACTTCTCCCACAGGCCATACTGCCCCAGGGTGGGCCAAATACAGCTCAATACAGCTCGTGGGCACTACTACCACCCACTGATCCTGGATCCTGTCCTTTTCCTTGAGCGCCTCTGCAATCGTTAGAACTCACGACGGACAGCACCCCTGGGCTCTTGGCGGCCACAGCCCCCAGAACCACGTGTTTGGGGTGAGGGAGGAGCACCTCCCCCAAAGATCAGCAGTGTTCCAGGGAGCGCCACCAGGCTCTACGCCCTGTACGCGCACCACTGAGAATCGCGCAGTTCCTCTCCTCCTATGGAATGACTCACTGTTTGGAACCCACGATGGTTAAATAAGCACCGGAAAGGCTTTTAAATGTTTGATGGAGTGATGGCCCCTCAACCAACCAAGCTTCGGAAACGCGGCCAATCGGTGATGGCCAATCAGCTACAGACACACATTTCTGGCGGCTCAGGGTTCAATTCCTAAACAACTCACTTCCGGAAGTCCACCTCATTTCTGAAGTCCCCGCTGTCTGACACCAGCTCTCTGCTTCACTTGGGGGCACTGTGTCGTCCAAGAATAGGTCTGTCTTGCTTAAACAAGTACTAAATGCAGCTTTGTCTCCAAAGCTTTTCTCTTTCCACATCACCTCCATGCTTTTGCGTACAGAGCCTGTACCCTTTGTTTGGGGCACCATTTTCTGCCTGGACGAACCTTTTGTTCATTCATCCCAACTCAGCTAACCTACCCTTTAAAACAATTTATTTTGAAGTAATCTGTACACCCAACGTGGGGCCTCGAACTCACAATCCCAAGATCAAGAGTCACGTGCTCTACCAAGTGACCCAGTCTGGAGCGCGGACTTCCCTAGCCTTTTTCTTTCTTTCTTTCTTTCTTTTTTTTTTTAATGTTTTATTAAACTTTAAACATCTCTGAGAGACAGAGAGAGAGAGAGAGAGAGAGTGAGAGCAGGGGAGGGTCAGAGAGAGAGGGAGACACAGAATCTGAAGCAGGCTCCAGGCTCTGAGCGGTCAGCACAGAGCCCGATGCGGGGCTTGAACCCATGAACCGTGAGATGATGACCTGAGCTGAAGATGGACGCTTAACTGACTGAGCCACCCAGGCGCCCCTTCCCTAGCCCTTAAAAGGCTTCCCAAAGGGGCACCTAGGGGGCTGGGTCGGTTAAGCCTCCAACTTAGGCTCGAGGCCACAATCTCACGGCTGGTGAGTTCCAGCCCCATATGGAACTCTGCTGTCAGCATAGAGCCTGCTTCGGATCCTCTGTCTCTCCCTCTGTCCCTCCCTGACTCATTCTCTCTCTCTCTCAAAACTCAGTCACTTGAGCGACTGACAATTTTGGCTCAGATCATGATCTCACAGGTAATGAGATGGAGCCCCGTGTTGGGCTCTGTGCTGGGTGCAGAGCCTGCTTGGGACTCTCTCTCTCTCTCTCCCTCTCTCTGCCCCTCCCACGCTGGCGCCTCTGCTCCCTCTCTCAACATAAACTTAAAAAGAAAAGAAAAGAAAAAAAAGAAGTATCTGTGACTTCTAAGAGCTCAGAAGAAAAATGCCAGCACGGACTTAGGGCTCAGAGGATGTTTAAAATGGCCCTCCAGGGGCGCCCTGGGTGGTGAATTCAGTCCGAAGACGGGGCGCCTCTGATCTCGAGATGGTGAGTTCGAGGCCCATGTTGGGGGTGGAGAGGACTAAAAAAAATAAATAAGTAAAACTAAAAAAATAATAATAATAAAATAAAATGACCCCGTAGATGAAAAATAAAGGACCTCCGGGGCACCTGGGTGGCTTAGTCGGTTAAGCGTCTGACTTTCGCTTAGGTCATGATCTCGTGGTTCGTGGGTTCGAGCCCCGCGTCGGGCTCTGTGCTGACTGCCAGCTCAGAGCCTGGAGCCTGTTTCAGAGTCTGTGACTCCCTCTCTCTCTGACCCTCCCCTGCTCACGCTGTCTCTCTCTCTCTCTCCTAGAAATAAACAAAACATTAAAAAAATAATTAAAAAAAAAAAAAAAGAAAGAAAAAGAAAGGACCTCCTTGTCCCAAAGCCCTCGAGCAACCACATCTGGTGTCTGGTGAGATGATGCCAGACCTTGCTGTTCCTGCCCACAGAGATCAGGTGCACCCAGGAGCCCCCCGCTGGGCCCTGGCAGGGGGGACATTCATTACTATGCAGTTCAGAGATTCAAGGGGATTATCTCAATGACTTCGGACATTGGGCCACAGGGGAATAACGCCCCACAGGAGAAAAGATGAAACGAGTATAATCAGTTGTCAGGCAGCAAGAATCCCTAAGCCCTTCGAGGGTCCTTCTAGCTGGATCAAGAATCAAACTGACACCAGATATATTGAGCGGAAAAATCCAAATGTAACGGCGTATACACGGGGAGCCCATACGGACGTGCAAATTCCAAAGGCTGTCAGGCAAAATGAGGTGTGGATGTCATTCTGGACCGAGGTGAAGCAGGTAGGGGCCTGGGGACTTTAGAGGGATGGGATGCACATCACAGGGCGATGAGAAGAGTAGGTGTTGGGTAATTAGATGGTTGTCCTGCTGTTCAGATGAGTCACTCAGATAAAATTTATCGCAGCCAATAAGCCTTCTTCTGGGAAAGAGCTCCGATTTAGATTCTTCTGTGTAGTTAAGGGAGGGACCAGCATTTCTCTTGGGCCCCCAGGGTCTCGATTGCCTTCAGCTCAGAATAATCTTCATGCCAAGTGGCCCATCTTGGGGCGCCCAGGTGGCTTGGCCGGTTGGGCGACTGAGTTCAGCTCAGGTCAGGATCTCACAGTTCGTGAGTTTGAGCCCCACGACTGGCTCTGTCCTGACAGCTCTGAGCCTGCTTCAGATTCTGTGCTCCTTCTCTCTCTCTGCCTCTCCCCCACTCATGCTCTGTCTCTGTCTCTCAAAATTGAATAAATGTTAAAAATTTTTTTTAAAAAAGGTGGCGCATCTTGGGGAGGCCTGCCCTCAGCCCCTACACAGCTCACTGCAGGCCTTCAACAGTGTATATTTATTAATGACCAAGAGATTCCAACCGATTTGCTCAATTAAAAGGAAACTTCCCAGAGGTGCCTGGGTAGCTCGGTTGGTTAAGCGTCCAGCTTCAGCTCAGGTCGTGATCTCAAGGTTTGGGAGTTCGAGCCCCGCGTCAGGGTCTCTGCTGTCAGCGCAGAGCCCACTTGGGATCCTCTGCCTCCCTCTCCCTCTGCCCCTCCCCTGCTCATGGGCACACTCACTCTCTCTCTCAAAAATAAACAAACATTTAAAAAGGAGAGAATTGGGGTGTCTGGGTGGCTCAGTCAGTTAAGTACCTGACTTCAGCTCAGATAATGATCTTGGGTTCATGGGTTCGAGGCCCAAGTTGGACTCTGTGCTGACAGCTCAGAGCCTGGAGCCTGCTTGGCATTCTGTGTCTCCCTCTCTTTGCCCCTCCCCCGCTCATGCTCTGTCTCTGTCTCTCAAAAATAAATAAATGTTTGGGACGCTTGGGTGGCTCAGTCAGTTAAGCAATGGACTTTGGCTCAGGTCATGATCTCCTAGTTTGTGGGTTTGAGCCCCGAGTGGGCCTCAGCAGTGATGGCTTAGAACCTGGAGCCTGCTTCAGAATCTGTGTCTCCCTCTCTCTCTGCCCTTCCCTCGCTCGTATTCTGTCTCTGTCTCAAAACTAAATAAACATTAAAATTCAATAATAAGCAAATGTTAAAAAATAATAAAATAATAAAATAGAATGAAAAAATAAAAACAACAAAGAAACAAAAACCCACGAGACTGCCCAGTCAAGACCCTTTGTTAAGAAATAGAGGACATAGCAAGGCACTCTACCAAGGTCACTTGCCTCATCCCAGGAAGCCCCACTCCTGGCCCTGCCTCAGAGGCCCATCTGTACCTTGATGATGATGTTGATGGCTTGACCCATGACCCCTGTCGTCAGAGCCCAAGATGTCGTGAGCCAGCAGACGTCACGAGCCTTTACTGCTTGCGAACACCCTGGTACTTGGCCTCATTTGTGCCTGGATGTGTGACATGATATTGTACTAAACCTTCTCCTCAGAAAGAAAAAGTGCCTGGTATTTATTCTTTTTTAAAAAAGAATTTTAATGTTTTATTTATTTCTGAGGGGGAGAGAGAGAGAGATAGCGTGAGCAGGGGAGGGTCATAGAGAGAGGGAGACAGAATGTGAAGCAGGCTCCAGGCTCTGAGCTGTCAGCACAGAGCTTGATGCCGGGCTCGAGCCCATGAACCGTGAGATCATGACTTAAGCCGAAGTCGACTGAGCCACCCAGGCGCCCCAAAAAGTGCCTGGTGTTTATAATCAATTTTTATTCCACTGAGTTGATCATTCAGTTGTTCACTGCTGTATTTTTAAACACTTGACATTTCAATTCAGACGTTATTTATAAACTAAATCCCGTTTAAGTATGAATATTCATACATTTTGCTAGAGAAATGTAATGTGTCTGATTAAGGGTGATGTCGCCGGAGGTTTTATACATGTATCATATTACCAGCCTGGAATTTGCATTATGAATTACATCCGGTCGGAAGAGTTCTGGATAAAGTTTGCAGATCGGTGTAACTAGAATCTACCTGCCTCTCAACATCTCCACTCCTTCTAACCCAGGGGAAATTACCGCCACCCTCACTGGGTCGGGCCCCCTGCGCTCGCCCTACGGCTTGTTCCCCGCACGGCCGTCAGGGGGCGCCCGCTCTCGCTTTGGGCAGCTCGGAACCCTCCAGGGCTCAGGGCTCACCTACAGCCACAGGACGACGCATGCGCAATGCACACATCACCATCGCTCCTGTCCTCTCCCCCCTCTCCCGTCGCTCGCTCGCTCGCTTACTAGGCTCCAGCCACACGGACTTTTTACCTTTACCTCTTTAAGCACTTATAAGGTATAAAATACTGTACAGTAAATTGATTATTATCTGCCTCTTCTCACTAGGATGTCAGACTCACGGGAAGGATATTTTTTTCCTCGTTCTGTTCACGTTTGTGCCCTCAGTGCCTGAACAGCTCTGTGCAAAAGAACTTTCTGTGATGGTCCCGGTGTTCTGTATCTGCTCTGTCCAACCGGGTAGCCTCTGGCCAAGTGTGGCTCCCAAGAACTTGAAATGCAGTGAGAGTGAGTGAATTTTTTTTTACTTCATTTTAATTCATGTTTTTAAAGATTTTATTTTTAAGCAATCTCTACACCCACCATGGGGCTCGACCTCACAACCCCGAGATCAAGAGTCACAGGCTTCACTGACTGAGCTAGCCAGCACCCCTCGTTTTAATTCATTTATTTCTTTTTTATTTTTTTTTAAGTGTTTATGTATTTATTTTTGAGAGAGGAAGAGGAGGAGGGGCAGAGAAAGAGGGAGAGAGAGAATCCCAAGCAGGCTCTGTGCAGTCAATGCAAAGCCTGATGTGGGGCTCGAACTCACGAACCACGTGAGATCATGACCTGAGCCAAAATCAAGAGTCAGATGCTTAACAGACTGAGCTACCCAGGTGCTCCACATTTGAAATCATTTAAATTTAAATAATCACATATGGCTACTGGCTACCTTATTGGACAGCCAAGGGGATATTTAATAAATATTTGTTGAATGAATGAATGAATGAATGAAATACTACATCTAGGCACTAGATGGCCATTCACCTAGTTTGAATTCTCACATCGGCTCTAGGCGGTAGGCACTTCTATGAGCTCCATTTTGCAGATGAGAACATAGAGGCAGAGAGGTTTAATAACTGACCCAAAGTCACACAGCTTAGAAGCAGCAGAGACAGGGGCGCTTGGGTGGCTCAGTCGGTAAAGCATCTGACCTCGGCTCAGGTCATGATCTCACGGTTCGTGGGTTTGAGCCCCTATCGGGCTCTGGGCTGACAGCTGGCTCAGAGCCTGGAGGCTGTTTCAGGTTCTGTGTCTCCCTCTCTCTCTGACCCTCTCCTGCTCACGCTGTCTCTCTCTTTCTCTCTCTCTCAGAAATAACTAAAAAACATGTTTTAAAAAAAGAAGAAGAAAAAGAAGCAGAGCCAGAATTCAACCCCAACCCTCAACAAATCTCTCTCTCTGCTCTGGGGTGGGGCCCTAGAACTCCTTTCTCGCAGCTATTTCCCCAGAGTTAGGGATGGTCAGGTTATAAAGGGTTACAAGATGGACCTGAGGAGGCCGGCCGGACTGCCTACCTTGGTTCCTGGCTGTGGGGAAGCAGGGCGGCGGCTCTCAGGGCTGGAGGCGCGGGCGGCCCCTGGAGATCCGAGACCTGGGAGGATGGAACGGGACCTGGTGAAGACAGGAAACGCCAAGCGAGTCCCACCCGGGGCCAGGACACTCACCTGAGCGGGGGCTGGGGAGGTCTCTGTCGCCCCCGGGGGGCCGCCCCCAGTCAGCCTCAGGGGACCTGGATGAGCTCAGCTCCAAGGACTCAGGCAGGCTCTGGAGCGGTCAGGAAAGGACAGTAATGCTTATCGTTGTCATGGTTACCTTTCCAGGCACTCAGCCATCAAGACACAGGAGGAGGAGTTAAGAGGGAAAACCAGGGGCCAGATGTTCTAATTTCAAATCTCAGCTCTGCCATCTATGAGCTGTGCAACCTTATGGAAGTTACTTTACCTCTCTGGGCCATATTTCAGCTTTGAATTCATCTCTGGAGCTCGAACCCATACACAGAAGGCACTTGGAACAGTGCCTGGCACACAGCAAGGCATTTTAAGCGCAAGGTCTTATAACGACTATACATCTGGAGCTCTGATAAGCACTTTAGTTGCATTATCTTATTGAATCCACTCCATAAACCTGTAAGGTGGCAATTATTGTCCCTATTTAACCTATAGGGAGGGGTGCCTGGGCGGCTCAGCAGGTTAAGGGTCTGACTTGGGTTCAGGTCACGATCTCCTGGTTCATGAGTTTGAGCCCCATGTAGGGACCTCTGCTGTTAGCACAGAACCTGCTTCAGATCCTCTGTCTCCCTCTCTCTCTCTGCCCTTCCCCGGCTCACACACTCTCTCTCAAAAATAAACATTAAAAAAAAAAAGTATGGGGAAACTAAGGTTCAGAGAATGAAGTCACCGGCTGGTATCACAGAGATAGAGTTCGGGGTGCCTGGGTGGCTCAGTCGGTTGAGTGTCTGACTCTTGATCATGGTTCATAATAAATGTGTCCCTGGGAGAAAACCACCCTTGGTTTGTAACATTTTGCTGATTTCTGTGGTGCAAATACTCCCACCATGGTCAATTTCAAGCACCATGATGCCAGCACTGAATATGGAATTGGAGTTGAGGTGCACACAGTTGGCTCTCGGGAGGTGTGGGGAGCTGGCCCCAGCACACCACTGGACAGTGGTCACAATATAACAAAGAAACAAAGGCTTCCAGAGCCTGGATACTTGCCTGGGGTTGGTTAGCTGAGAGAAAGAAAGGAAGAGAGAAAAAGGTGAGTGGGTGATGAGATGGGCCAGGGCAGATGGGACAGGAAGCTGGGGATGGGGAAAGGCTTGTGAGTCTCACCTCCCTCTCTGAGGACTCCTCAACTTGCAGTGCGGGGGATGGGGAGTCAGGTTCAGCATTGTGGGGTGGCTTCTGGGGGCCCCCCAGCCCTGCCAGCGTGTCTTCTACCATCCATAGTTGTTGTTGAGCTGATGCTCTGTCCTGTGGGGAGGAAAGACAGTCCACTGTCTTTCCAGTCAGACTGGACATTCTCTTGTCTTAGTCCTACAGCTTTGTTCTTAGAGGTTGCCTTGGCTACTCTTCGTCTTTTGCCCTTACAGATACAATTTAGAGTCAGTTTGTCAATCTCTACACAGAAACCTCCCAGATTTGTACTGGGATTGTAAATCTCCACTGGGGAAATCAATGTGGGGAGGCTGTATCTTTATATTATGGTATCTTTCCTATCCACGAACATGGTATACCTCTTCATTTATATAGGTCTTCTTTAATTTCTCTCGATGTTTTGTGGCTTTCAGAATAGATGTCTTGCCTATCTTTCATTAGATTTCATCCTGGATATTTAATTTATGTCGATTACAAACACTACTGTTTATAAACATTCTCTAGTCGTTTGGTACTAACATACAGGAAGACAGCTGATTTATGCATATTATCCTTGCATTCAGTGACTTTGATAAATTTGTTTGTTCTAATAGCTTATCCGAGACTATTTTGGATTTTCTACATATCTACAGGCATGTCATCTATAAATAAAAATAGATTTACTTTTTTTCTCTGGTCCTTGTACCTTTATTTCGTAGAATTTTACTGTGTAGGACCATTGGTACAATCTTCACTAGAACTGGTAATAGTAGACACCCTTGTCTTATTCCACATATCAGGGGGAGAGTTAATATTTCACTGCCACCTATGTTTGCTGGAGGTTTATTATAGATGCATAATCAGATTAAGGAAGTTCCCTTTGATTCCTATTTTGCTGAGAGTTTCTATCATCAATGGATGTTAAACATAGTCAAATGTTTTTCCTGCATTTTTTGAGATGATCATGTGGCTTGTCTCCTTTTTACAAAAATGTGGTGAAATACATGGAGTAATTTTCAAGTGTTAAATTAACCTTGAATTCCTACAATAAACCTAATTTGGTTCTTTGCATATACTACTGGTGCCCAGTGATTTTTAACACCAATGTGGAGGGGGATTAGCAGTGAGAGTGGATTTCAGGAAGAAGGGGGAAGGGTTTAACATGCAGACAGCAGCGCGTAAAGCTGTGAATATGCATTTAAGACAAGAAGTAAACATTTTAAACTAAAGATATATGGTCTAGAAACTTGATTATTAGGCTTACAATGAAGAAGGAGGGTGGGGGGTGAGCCTGGCTGGCTCAATTGAAGGAACACGTGAGTTCAAGCCCCATGTTGGGTGTAGAGATTACTTAAAAATAAAATGTTTAGGGGCCCCTAAAAAGCCACAGAGGGCAGCTCAGTCAGTTAAGCATCCGACTCTTGATTTCAGCTCAGGTCATGATCTCGTGGTCTGTGAGATCCAGTCCCGTGTGGGGCTCTGCACTAACAGTTCAGAGCCTGCTTGGGATTCTCTCCCTCCCTCTCTCTGCCTTTCCCCTACTCGTGCTTTATATCTCTCTCAAAATAAATAAATAAACATTTAAAAAAAAATAGGGCGATCTGGGTGGCTCAGTCAGTTGAGCATCTGACTTTGGCTCAGGTCATGATCTCATGGTTCATGAGTTCAAGCCCCACATCGGGCTCGCTGCTTTAAGCACAGAGCCTGCTTCACGTCCTCTGTACCCTTCTCTCTGCCCCTCCCCCGCTTGTATTCTCTCCCTCAAAAATAAAAATAAACTTTAAAAAAATAATTAAAAATAAAAATAAATAAAATCTTTAAAAAAAAAAAAGAATGAAGAAGTGGGTCTGAAGCTAAGCAAGGGGGCTTATACTTCAGAAGTAGAACTTGAACCAGGGCGCTTGGGGGGGTCAGTTGGTTGAGTGTCTGACTTCGGCTCAGCTCATGATCTCAGGATTTGTGGGTTCAAGCTCTGCATCGTGCTCTGTGCTGACAGCTCAGATCCTGGAGCCTGCTTCCGATTCTGTGTCTCCCTCTCTCTCTGCCCCTCCCTTGCTCACACTCTGTCTCTCTCAAAAATAAACATTAAAAAGAGAAGAAGAAATGGAACTTGAACCAAGGGACTAGATCTGGAAATAAATCCCAGGGGATAAATAAAACAGCAAAAGCCAGGACACGGGATATGGCAAGGCTCAGGGGTGAAATTCTGAATTGGAGGACAGGGCTTCAAAATTAGAGGAGAGATTTAGAACCAGGGGAGAGAATGATTCCAAACTTGAAGGTATGTCTTAAATCTAAGGGCAGGGTCTTAACTACAACAAAAGGTTAAAAAGGAAAGGATGGACAGGGAGGAGTTTGAAATGAAGTAGGAGGGGCTTACATGCCTAAAGGGTTTCCATGGCAACGGGGAGTAGAGGGTGGAGTTTGGGGTCCTGGGACAGGGGTATACCTGGGGGGAGCCAAGGTGCAGCAGGTACTCCAGGGTCTCTCGCAAGGTGCCCAGTTCCTGTTCCAGGCTGTTGTACGTGTCCCAAACCCGCTCTCGCTCCTCAGGTCCCAAAAACGGGGAAACACGGGGTTAGTATGCGCACGCACCAGATCTTTCCCCACTCCGATTCTTCCCACCTGGGAGGAGGAGGAAGGGAGGCCTGGTCCCTGGTACCCGGATGGGGGGAGAGGACATACATGGACTACAATTCCCAAGAGCCCCTTTGCTCAGACCACTTGGATTCCCCAGAGTCTATAGGGAACCTGCCGTTCCAATGAACCCGCGAGCATAGACAAATAACAGATTTCCCTAAATTCTCTGATTATCTCTGAACTCCCCTAGGGTGGCAGAGTCTACACATCTGATAAATTCTTGGGACAGTCAAGACAGAGAGAGAGACTCCCAGAGTCTCTAAGCACCTCCAGGAGAGAATCATCATCACCATCATCATCATCACCATCATCACAGCTAATATTTATTTATCAGGCACTTACCATGTACGAGGCCCTGTTCTTAGCTCTCATTTAATTCTTGTAAGGTAGGTATTATTAATGTCCCCATTTTACAGATAACAATCATTATAGCTAACATTTAAATATTTCTTACCATAGACCAGGTCCCTAACTTTTAAATATCCACATGTATATGATATATAAATGATATATATCCACATGATACATAAATATACAAAATATATATTACAATAGATCATATAAGTATTAGTCACTCATTTATACATGTATATTATACAATATGTATGTATAAATATATACACATGTATGAAACTTTTACAACGACCATATGTACTAAATACTATTTTTATCATTTCGAGTTTGTATAAGAGGCATCTGAGGGGCTGCCTGAGTGGCTCAGCCAGTTAAGCGTGTGACTCTTGATTTCGGTTCAGGTCATGATCTCCCTGTTTGTGAGATTGAGCCCCATGTCAGGCTCTGTGCTGGGTGGGGAACCTGTTTAAGATTCTCTCTCTCTCCCTCTCTCTGTATACTCCTTCTCTCTCTCTCTCTCTCTCTCTCTAAAAAAGAGGAAGGGGGAATCTAAGGCCCAGCGGGGTTCAGTAACTTTCCTAAGGTCAGACAGCAGGAGCTAAGATTCAAAACTATGAAGCCCATGTCAAATTCACCTTCTCAAACCACTAACTTAAGTCTCCTGTTTCCTGGCTGCTCCCTCGCCCTCCAAGACCGTCAGGATGACTGGTTTCAATCATGGGAAGAGGGGAACTGTCACAAACCACCTTCCCATGAGCCTCTGCTGGCAGGTCCCCTTCACTGATGGCCTCCTGGGAGGCCACGCCCCTTCCCATAGGCTCACCTGGGTCAGGTGACAGAGAGCGGCCCTCACACTGACCAGTCGGTCCTGCAGGAGGCGCTGGCGGCCCCAGGCCCGCCCTGGAGCCGCCGCCTCCCTGGTCGTTTGGCTCAGCTGCTGCCGGGTCAATTCCAAGGCCGCCTCCAGCTGCTCCTGCACCGAGACGGAAGGTGGTTAGACTTCTGACTCCACATTCAGCCCCCGGGGAGAGAGCAACGGTGTCCTCCCCCATCCTGGGGCACACTGGGGACAGGGAAGGGAGAGCCAGGTGGGGAGGCTGAGTATCCCTCGCTATTTCAGGGCCTCCTACCTTCTCCTCTTGCCTCTGGTCTATCTCCTCCTGTAACCTCCTCAGGAGCCGGTCCTGTCCACACAGCTTGGTCAACAGAGTCTGGACAGAGGAGAACAGAAGCTATTCATGGGCCAGATCTGGCTCCTCCCCTGTCCTCCCTGCGGCGCCCCCCCCCCCCCCGCATCTACAGCATTCTCTCCCCACCTTTGAGAATCCGGCAGGGGTGGGGTCAGGGAGAACTTACATCTGTCTCCAAGCTTTGGTGAAAAGTTGAGTCTAGGGGGGGCCCCGGCTGAGGAGAAGAAGAGCCAGGGGTCACACGGACAGACAGGACTTTATTGTAACTCAGAGCTGAATCGAGCCCTGTTTCTACTGACAGACACCCTTCTCCTTCTCCTCATTAGCTTTGTTCCAAGCTTCAGCAAACCGCAGCCAACCAACTACCAGATTCTTGGCTTTAGGGAGATCCAATGGGCTCTGTTACCAAATAGCTGTAGCGATGTTATAACTTGGGGAGGAAATGTAGACATTTCTTCTTTATTTAAAAACTTTTTTTTATGTTTATTTATTTTTGAGAGAGAGAGAGACACGATGCAAGCAGGGGAGTGGCAGAGAGAGAGGGAGACACAGAATCCGAAGTGGGCTCCAGGCTCTGAGCTGTCAGCACAGAGCCTGAGTTGGGGCTCGAACCCACGAACCATGAGATCATGACCTGAGCCGAAGTCGGACGCTCAACCGACTGACCCCCCCAGGCTCCTCACAGACATTTCTTTTACAAGAGAAAATAAAATAAGGATGCTCACTACCACTGTTACAGTTTCACACAGTATTAGAGATCTTGACCGAGGCCATAAGAAAAGAAAAAGGAAACAAAACACAGTGTAAGCTTGGAAGGAGAAAGATGAAACCACCATTATTTACAGATGAAATGCTCATTACCCAGAGAAACCAACAAAATCAAAGAGTGATTAGAATAAGGGAATTTGGGAGCGCCTGGCTGGCTCAGTTGGTGGAGCATATGACCCTTGATCTTGGGGTTTGTGAGTTTGAGCCCCACGATGGGTGAAGAGATCACTTTAAAAAAATCTTAACAGGCGCCTGGATGGCTCAGTCAGTTAAGTGTCCGACTTCGGCTTAGGTCATGATCTCACGGTTTGTGGGTTCGAGCCCCACATCAGGCTCTGGACTGAGAGACAGCTTAGAGCCTGGAGACTGCTTTGGATTCTGTGTCTCCCTCTTTCTCTGCCCTCCTCCCACTCATGCTCTGTTTCTCTCTGTCTCAGTAATAAATAAACATTAAAAAATTTTAAAAAATAAAAAAAATCTTAAAAAAAAAAAGAGAGAGAGAGAGAATTCAGTCCGAGGAGAAAGATGAAGTCCCAAACTCCAATCGTATATCTTTATCCCATCCATAACTAGAAAACATAATTTAAAAAAAGAGAAAAAGATACCATTCAAGTAGCTATAAAAACTATCAGGAATTTAGGAATTGCCTTAACTAAGAGCACACAAGGTCCCTACGGAAGAAAATTTTAAACTCAAATAAAAACCTGGAAGATGAAATGCATGAGCGGAGAGATATTCTATATGCCTGCCTCCCCGTTGGCACCAGTCGTAGGAAATTTATAGAAGAGTCTGCCAAGGGACCTTGAAATACCCAGTCTTCTCCATGACGTTCTCCATGGCAAAGAAAGCACGGAAGGGGGTTCTAGCAGATTCAAGGGGCTCCAGGTCACCTACCAATAATACCATGGACGCCCGGGTCCCGGGAGCTCTCGGGGGTAGCTGGAGATACGTGGAGCCAGAGGAGGCCTGGGAGGAATATTGAAATTGTTTAGAAATTGGCATGTTTTCATAACACATATTAGAGTGGACGTGTCCAGAACTGATGTGACTTAGGAGACTCATTGAGGTTCAGCACTGAGCCCCACAACTTTCTCAACTACCTGTTCTCCAGCGATGTGCCACCGTGGGGACACGTAGGATAAGAACTGGAGACGAGCCTGGCAAAACAGCCCGGGGCCGAAAGCAGTTGGAATCTACTCTTTCTCACCTTTTTGGTCAACTGTGGGTATTCTGGGCTACAATCCCAAGATGCTCAGAGAAAAATAGCAAGTGAACATCTTGGAAAGATAAAGTGGAGACACAAGACAGATGCAATCCACGCTACTTCTCCAAGCAATGTCTGGGAGGACAGTGTTTGGAACTACAATCCCCATAATACTTACGGGGTAACGGCCAGAGACCAGCCTGAAAAGACAGCCCTCAGGGCTGATGGGAGATGAAGTTCACTTTCCCCCTCACATCTGAACCCAGCTGTGATTATGCTGAACCACAATCCCCATGATGCCCAGGAGGCCGTGGCTGGCCAACCAGCCCAGCAAGACAGCCCGTAGCCATATGGGAAATGTAGTCCCCCTCCCCGTTACCTCCCTGCTCACCTGTGTTCTGGCCTCCTGACTCCAGTGCTGGGGACTCCTGGGGGGTCTCCCTCCCCCAGCCTCAGAGGAAGGTCCTCTCCGGGGAGTGGGGGGCCTAGAGAGTGTCTGGCGCTGGGGCCCCCAATCCAGGGCAGGCCGGACATCGATGCGACTCAGAGGAGTATGGGGTCTGGCAAGAGGTGCTATGTCGCCGGAGGTTGGAGGGGGTCTGCGGGCAGGAGCAGAACGGGGCCGGGGGAGGCTCAGTGGGGACGGAGGGCGAGAGAGGGGTGTGAATAGGCTGTTGGGAGGAGAGAATAGGGGAACTAGGTCAACTACAGCCCCCTCACCCCACGACCCACCCAGTCATCCTCCGGTGCGCATCTCCTCCCAGTGTGTCTCACGGTCCCTCTAGAGTAAAACCCCCCTGTTAACCAGATCATGAATATTTTCCCCTTTTGTGGCTCCTCCTTAGCACGTGCCGCCTATGAGTCCTACTCCGTGAGAACTCCAGTAACTCCTACCTACTCAAGGACGAAAGCTCTAAGCCTTATTACCTGGAAGCAGTCCCAGTCCCCACCCTTCTCTTAGGCCACGCCCCCAAACCCCACCCCTACCCCCCCATGCTCAGCCCTGTAAAACCTTCCGGTCCCAGACTCCCTCGACTCACTCGGGGCTCCGAGTCCTCCGGATCGGAAGTCCAGACTGGAGGTCGGCTGTGGGACTGGGAGTGAGCAGCCCGGGTCGTGCGCGACCTCTGGAGAGCCGAGCCACCTCTGGGGATTCTAAACCGTGCCTCTCTTCCCGGCTGCTCACCTCCGGGGGGCCACCGGGGCCGCCGGGGCCCTCTCCAGCCTGGGGACGTGCAGGTGACCTGGGTCGCCCACTAAGTGGGTACAGAAAAAGACATCAGTCCTTTGTGCCTCATAACAACCCTTATTTCCATTTCACGGAGGAGCACGCGGGAACATACACAGAATAAAGCGAAGGTGGTGCAGTGTAAATCATTGTTCCCATTTTGCAGATGGGAAAACTGAGGCCCCCAACTGTAGAAGTGACTAGAGCGGAGCGGCGGCGGTACAAGGTCCATCCGGGTGTCTGGACCCAATGTCCCAGATTATGGGTCTCCAGCTTGAAACTGGGGGCAGGGTGGGGCAGAGTAGGTCTTTTTATATTTGACATTGTTTAAGTGGCAGCCTTAGGGATGGAGACTTCTGAGGGAGCCAACCGGGGACTCCCGGAATATTGATGGGTGTGGGGGAGGTGGCAGTTGGAGGGGGTGGGTGTGAACCAAATGGTGGGCGGAGTCTAGAGGAAAAGGACTTTGCTGATTGGAGGAGACGAATTTCTCCGGAAGTGGGACCCGAAGGGCGGAGTCTCCTTAGCTACAAGACAAGTGATTGGACGTTCACGAGGCAGCGCCTAAAGGGGCGGGGCTGGGGACGATTAGATGGACTCAGAAGCAAGGAGGAGGTCAGGGCCTATGCTCACCAGTCGTCCCCCTCTGCGCGAGAGGCCCGGCCCAGCGCCCTCAGCCAGCCCCGCAGGTCCTCCAGCGTGTCGGCGGCCAGGACGTACGTCCTCATGCCTGGGTGCTCAGCCTGCGGGGAAAGACAGCTGGGACCTGGACGCTGGCGACCTCTGAAAAGGAGGACGCCACGCACCCAGGTCAAGACTTTTAACTCCAATGATGGCTGCTCCAATGACTGCCCCCATTGCCTAGCGCCTTAGTGACCACTCACGGTGAAGGTGAAGCGCCGCCCTCGGAGGGCTCCCGGCCCATCTGGCCTGATGCTGTAGCTTGGCAGCAGGACGCTGCCCAGGACGCTCTCCTCGCGGCTGTCTGCAGAAGAGGGGCTGGGGTCAGGGATCACACAGGGATCTGGAGGCCATGAGCCTAGAGGAAAGGGAGGGTGTTGGGGGGGGACCCGTCCACCCCACGCCAGCCAGGGCACCGACCCTTGTAATAGAAGAGGCAATGGCCGGAGAGGACGAACCAGCGGCGTTTCCAGAGCCGCAGCCCGGAGCTGTCCTGGGGGAAACAGAGCAGGAGGGGCGGCCTGAGCAGAGGGGAAGTAGGGAGAGGAAATGCGGGAATGGAGACAGCGGCACCTGGGGACGGGAACCCACAGAGAGGAGAGCAAGGGAAACATGCTTGATGCAATAGACTGAGATGGAGAGCAGGAAGCCAGAGTGTAGTGGCCGAACGACCATGGACTCTGGACGCAGTCAGACCTGAGTTTGGCTCCTAGCTCCACCCCTCTCGAACTATGCCATCAGACTCGTCATTTCCTGGCTGGGACACTTGTGTGCTCTCATCTGTCAACTGGGGATTGTGAAGTTCCTGGAAGGCTGGAATGGGATACTATACGACACGCGGGCAGGCATTTCACATGCCAAGACTCGGTCTGATGATTGTGGAGTCGCAGGCACAGAGAGGCCAGGATGGTGGCATCGAGCCATGCCCCTAATCCTGCATCTCCCCCGCTCCTCTGCCAGAATTACCCCATCTCCAATCTCCTGCCCCTCTTCTCCCCTTCAATCTGTTCCCACAGAAGCCAGCATGATCTTTCAAAATTAGAAGTCAGATTGGGGGAGTCCCCTGCTCAAAACAGAGCTTACCGTCACACCTAGAATAAACCTCAAATTACTTACCCCCTCTCTCTCTCTCTTTTTTTTTTTTTTTTTTAATGTAGGCTTCACACCCAGTGCAAAGCCCAACTTGGGGCTTGAACTCCCAACCCTGAGATCAAGACTTGAGCTGATATCAAGAGCCGGGCGCTTGGGGCGTTAAGTGTCTGACTCCTGGTTTCGGCTTAGGTCACGATCTCGCAGTTCGTGGGTTCGTGAGTTCAAGCCCTGCGTCGGGCTCTGCACTGACAGTGCGAAGCCTGCTTGGGATTCTCTCTCTCTCCCTCCCTCTCTGCCCTTCCCCCGCTCATGCACTCTCCGTAAATAAACAAATAAATAAAATTACCTAAAAAGTACATGTAAATAAAAGAGACAGATGCTTAATTGACTGAACCACCTAGGCGCCCCTCGCTACCCTCTTTTACAGGCTGGCAGGGAATCTCAAACGTTGTCCTGCGTACGAATCACCAGGAAGGCTTGTTACATTACAGATTCCCGGGTCCCATCCCCACAGTTCCTGAGTCAGTAGATCTAGGGTTGGTGGGAGCTGACAATGCATTTCCAACAAGTTCCTGGTGCTGCTGATGCTACTGGTCAGGGACCCCTTTGAATTCCATCGACTTTAACCCCCAGCTGGCTCCAAACACCAAGCTTTGGCCTGCTGCAAGGCCTTTCGCTTTCGGATTCCCTTTGCCTCCAGATCTTAACATGATCGGCTCCTTCATGTCACTTAGTCTTCAACTCAAATGTCATCTCAGAGACGCCTTCCCTGACCAAGAGTCAAACAGTGCTCTCATCCCTCTGACATCCTTATTTATTTTTAATTTTTTAAATGTTCATTTTATTTTTTGAGAGAGAGAGAGGCAGAGCGCGAGTGTGGGAGGAAAAGAGAGAGAGGGAGACAGAATCCAAAGCAGGCTGCAGGCTCTGAGCCATCAGCACAGAGCCCAACGTGGGGCTCGAACTCACAAATCGCGAGATCATGACCCAAGATGAAGTTGGCGTTTAAACGACTGAGCCACCCAGGCACACTGGTTTTTATTTACTTTTGAGAGAGAGAGAGAGAGAGAGAGAGAGAGAGAGAGACCTGGGGAGGGGCAGAGAGAGAAGGCGACAGAGAATCCAAAGCAGGCTCTGCACTGACACCAGAGAGCCCAATGCAGGGTTCGAACTCAGGAACTGTGAGATCATGACCTGAGCCTAAGCTAAATGCTTAACAAACTGAGCCACCCAGGCGCCCCCTTCTGTCACTTTTCAGCACATTCTCCTGTGTTGTTTTTTCACAGCAATTCCTACCATCTGAAATATGCTAATGTATTACCCATCCCTGCCTCGCCCCATCTTAAGCATGCTATAGATGCTTGCTTGTCTTATCTGGGCTTGGCACCTTGTAAACATTCAGGAAGTGGTCGCTGAGTGAATGAATGGGTGCGTGGAACAATGTCAGAAAAAGGGGAGAAGATTGTTAGAAAAAAGCCGAGGGGTGGGGCGCCTGGGTTAAGTGTCCGATTTCAGCTCAGGTCATGATCTCAAGGGCTCGCTGCTGCCTGCACAAGCTAGCTTTGGAGCCTCTGCCCTCCCCCCCCCCCCCCCCCCCGCCTCTCTCCCACTTGCAGTCTCTTGCGCAAAAACAAATAAATTTTTTTTAAAACATTTTTTTAAATATTTTTATTTATTTCTAGGAAAGAGAGAGAGAGAGACAGCGTGAGCAGGGGAGGGTCAGAGAGAGAGGGAGTCACAGACTCTGAAATAGGTTCCAGGCTCTGAGCTGGCAGTCAGCACAGAGCCCGACGCAGGGCTCGAACCCACGAACCGCGAGATCATGACCTAAGCGAAAGTCGGACGCTTAACCGACTAAGCCACCCAGGTGCCCCCAAATAAATATTTTTTAAATAAAAGAAAAACAAACCACATTTGGAGACTTGGAAGAAGAGAAACAGGGGACAGCCTCTAGCATCACTGGGTGTCCTTTCCCTCCCCCCGCTCACCTCACCTGCTTATGAAGCCAGCCTCGGATGTGCACCGGGAGGTTGGGGTCCCTTCTGAGTGCATTGCCTCTCTTCCCGAAGGCGTGCACCTTGCTCACGGCCCGGGTAGGCTTCTGAGGAGAGAAGGAGGGCAGATACGAATTGGGCCTCGGACGGGCTTGGGGAGGAGGCGCACTGGGATGCGGGAACCCGTGGCTCACCCTCCGCTGCCCTTAGAAACCAAGCCGAGGAGGGAACTGAATTCTGAGGTCAGAATTGGATGTGCACGTTACGGAGCTCACAGACACTTTTAATGGGCGGACGGAGCTGTTTGGGGAAAAGGAAGAGACTACTGGCGGATGGGGAAGGAATTTGGGGATCACGCGTCTCACGGAGCCAGAGAAGTAGTACAGTCCATGGGATCTGAATGGGAGGTCCTCATGATCAGGAAAGACCTCCATGCGGAGTCCCTGGTGATGGGTCAGCTGAATGGAAGGATGTCTCAGTGCCAGGGAGTGACATCCCTTAGCAACCATGTCCAGAAGAGAGAGGACTCCAAATCCCTCTCTCCCAATAGGAGAGGAGCCCCCTCTCCCATTCACACCGGCATCTCCGGCATCCATAGCCCCCTGTAGCCTGCCTTGGGGATGGCACTGAATTGGGACTGAATCTCTAGATTCTGAACTTGGCAAAGTGGAAATGAGTGAAGAGAATGGCCGAGGACAAGGAAATGAGTAGGAAATGAGTGTCGTCACTGAACTTGGGGCTGGGGCCATGACTTGGGACGCAACTATCTCAGCCCTCTTGAGAAAGGTCCTTTCCTTATCCAGAACCGGGTAGACTGGATGGTTCCTGAACTGGGTAGATTGGATGCCCGGGGTTAGGACAGGGAGTTCTCGGTCCCCGTCAAGGGTAGCCACCGCCCGAATTTCTGGGGGGGAGCCTCGTGGCTGGGGAGTAGCCTTAATTTAGCAACCAGAGTAAAGTGGGATTGTTACTCTGGCTTTGAATTGGCAGAACGGGAGGGGTGGAGACAGCTGGGAGCGGCTCTGAATTCCTAGCTGGGGCTAGTGGGCAACGGGGGACCTTCCTCGGTGTGGCTGAGGATCCTTGCTCCTAACAACAGGGGTCCCTCGAGCTGGCGCGGAACCGGGGCTGGGGAACCCGAGGACTCGGCAGCCCAGAGCCCCGCCCACCTCCCCGGCCCCTCCAAGAAGCTCAGACCTTGGTGCTCAGGCTGCGCAGCGAGGAGACGGTGGAGACGCTGGCCAGGCTGAGGCTGCTCCGGGGTCTGCCCTCCTCCATCGAGGGCTTGCGGAGAGAAAGAAAGGGGCTGTGTGCGCGTCTCTGCAGCTGACCCGGCTGGGGACAGAGACGGGGTCAGGGGCTCGCAGGTCGGAGGAGGCTGAGGAGAATGCGCCTGTTGTGTGGGGACTGGGGGGCTGGGGGAGGCCCTGGCCCGGGACTGCATACCAAGAGCGATGCCAAGAGAGGTGGGCGGCACTGGCAGCTCCCGGGAGGGGGGCAGCCGTCTGGCGCCCAAGACAGAGAATAGGGGCTCCTTTATTCTTGCCCCCGCCCAGCACTCTCGCCAGGAATTTGACCCTCTGTGCTTAGGGAGCCCCCATTCCTTGCCTCTTCGCGGCTGCCCCAAGCTACCTGTCTCCAGCCCTCCCACACGCACCCCCAGGCCATCCCTGCCAAGCCCTGGGACCCCAGGAATGCACATCCAGGAAGTCCCTCCCAGGCCAGCCAGGGAACTTACCAGCTCTGGGGTCCCAGGGATGGGGGTAACGAGGTGCTGGAGCACCCAGCTGCTGTCTCTTGGGTGCTGCCTCTCAGACCTGTCTGCCTTCTCACCTGCTCGCTCATTCAGTTTTTGGTTTGTGTCTCTTCTGGTCACTCTTCCCTTTTTTTTTTTTTTTTTTTTTTTTTTTAGAGCGTCTCTGTCTCTGGCCTCACCTTGTCTCTGTTTCTAATCTGTCTCTTCCAGTTTCTCTCTCTGGCTCATTATCTCCCCTGCCCGCCCGCTCCCCGCCCCCCCCCCCAGCACTTTCTCTTCCAGTCTTTCTGTTTCTGTTCCAGATCTTTTTTTCTCTGACTCAGTCTCTTTTCCTTAGATCTCCCTCTCGTTCTCTCCCTCTCTCTCTCTCTCGCTCACACTCGAGCTCTTCCTCTTCTCTGTCTCCGTCCCCACCGCCGCTGTTTCCTTCTCTCCTTGATTCCCCTTCTTTCTTCCTCCCTCTCCGACTCTCTTTCCTCCTCGCTGGTCGGCCAGCCGCCCACGCTGCTGTCTCCCCTTCCAATCCCGGCTGACCCCGCCCCTCTTGCCCCCCCGCACCCCCCCCGCCCGCCTGACCCCTGGCTCGGCTGCCCCCACCGCTGAGGGGAGGGGCTGCCCCCTCCCCACCCCGCCCTTGACTCCTGGGTCCCCGCTGGGCCGGGATTCCTAACTGTTTGGAGAGGAGGAGCTGTGGCTTGGACTCCAGCGTCCCAGTGGGCTGGTCCTGCCCATCCTGCTCAGGACCTGGGTCACTGGCACCCTGGAGGGAGCTGGCATCCTGGAAATAGAGGGGGCTCAGGCTTCTGGGTGCCTGGAAAGGTGTGAGCTTGGAGTCAGGACTCCTGAGTTGTTAATGGGGCCGGGGATCCGGAAGTGTGCTTTTGAGTGGATGGGTCCAGGCTTTCCAGGGAGGAGGGAGTGACCCTGGGTTCCTGCATTGTGGCCAGGGCAGGGTCCAGTGGCCACGGTCAAACATCTATCATGCTCTTTCTCTGTCTCTCAAAAATATTTTAAAAAGGGGCGCCTGGGTGGCTCAGTCAGTTAAGCGTCCGACTTCGGCTCAGGTCATGATCTCTCACAGTTCGTGGGTTCCAGCCCTGCTTGGGCTCCTCCATACTGGAATTCTCTCCTTTTTCTCTGCCCCTCCCCCTGCTCCGACTCTTTCTGGAAATAAATAAGTTTTTTTAAACCTTAAAAAAAATCCACTCACCAAATATTTGTTGAGCACCTACCTACTCTGTGCCAGGCACCGAGGGAAAAAAAGCAGTGAGCAAAGTAAAATGCCTGCCTTCAGGGTGCTCACATTCTTGTTCTCATTTACAATCAATCTAGGCTCTGCTGTGACCACTTTGGTCAAGTGACTTCATTCCCAGGTCATGATCAGATCATGATCTCACGGTTCGTGGGTTCGAGCCCCGCGTCAGGCTCTGTGCCTTCAGCCTGCTTTGAATTCTGTCTCCCTCTTTCTCTGCTCCTTCCCTACTCTCTCTCTCTCTCAAATAAATAAACATTAGAAAAAAAAAAAAACAGGAGTTGGGAGAGCAGCCCGGCGGCTTAAGCCAGCCACGCGTTTGATTGACAGCTCGTTTCTTTCGGAGTGTGGTCACGCCGGGAAACGTCCCCAAGTCGTCACAGAACCCGGAATCTCCGCGAGAATTCCAACTTTCAAGTTTCGAAACCCCGCCTCCCCGTGACGTCAGCACGTCCGGCCGCGTTGGACTATAAAAGCCTTTCGGGCTGCGTCAGTTCATAGCTTAGCTGTGGATCATACACATGTACGTGCTGGACTCCAGATACCCTTTGCGACGACAGCGATTGCAGTAGCAGGTGGTAACCGGAGACCCGGAGCCCGACACCGGAGGGCGAGATGAACGCGCTGGCTTCCCGAGCCATCCGGATCCGCGATCGCTTGTGGCAGCCCGAGCCGGCCCTCCTGCCCCCAGGGTGACGCACAGCCCCGAGTCGGTGAGTGAGGGGTCCGAACGCCTGGGCCCTGAGGGGTCGAGGGCTGGGGATCAGACTCCGCGTTAGGAATGAGAAGGGAGTGTGGACTTCTGGGTGCCTAGACGGAAGGGTTCGAGGCCGGGACTCGTTAGTTCCGAGGAAGGGTGGCCCTGGGAGCCTGAGCGCCTGCGTCTGGGAACGAGTGCGACCAGGACGGACTCCAGGGCTCGGATTTAGGATGGAGAAAGGATTGGGAGCCTTAAACCTGGCGGGGGCACGGATCTGGAAGCCAGACTCCAGAATCCCCAGTGATGAAACCGTGCGGGGGGGGGGGGGGGCGGGGGGGGCCGGGAGGGATCGGAACTTTTTGAGTCTCAGAGGGAGGAAGGTGATGAGGGCCTGGTTTGTCAATCCTCGGGACGGATAAGAGAAACAGGGACTAGAACCTTGTCCCCAAGGGAATCTTGCCCCGCACGTAGACCCTGTATTTCCAGTTCTGGAAACTGAGCCTTCTTAGTCTGAGAGAAGAGGCTGGGGGCTTGGAGTCTTGGGTCTAAGAAAAAAATGAGAGAACTGGGAACTCAGACTCCTGCGTTCTGCGAGAACGGAGGTGAGAACCCTGTACTCTGCTGGAGAAGGGAGTGGCCGGGATCGGAAAGGAATGTGGGGGAGGGACTCTCACGTTGCTATTTGTGTTGCTATTTCCGTTCCTGTGACTCACAATCATCCCTGCTCTCCCTTATATGGCTTCTGACCTTTCTTTCCTTTTGTCCCAGCACAGACAGATGGCTCCAGGCCAAGTGCCCCACCAGTCTGCCCCCTGGAGGGGCTCCCACCCCTTTTTCCTCCTGTCCCCGCTGATGGGCCTTCTCAGCAGGGCCTGGAGCCACCTGAGGGGCCCAGGCCCTCCGGAACCCTGGCTCTTAGAACCAGTAGCCAGAGCGGATCAAGGAGAAGCTGGTCCGGAGCCAGATGCTAAGACTTTCCTGGCCACTCTCCGCGCCCCAGAGGGCAGGCACTTTCCAGGGGAGACAGATGGACGAGGGTTCTGGGGGCCCGGCCATGACCTAAGAGCCAGCCGTTCTCTTCTTGAAGCCCGGGGACTTTCAGATGATGATGATGATGATGATGGAGAGGATGGGGGGGAACAAACAACCACCAGGGTCCCTCAAGAGCAAGGAAGTGCATTTGTGGATGGCCGGCCTGCTCCCCTGTCCCCCAGTCTTCCAGAAAGAATGCTGCAGGGCCTTTCTGGGGAGGAAGAGCCTGAGCAAGGAGGGGCTGCTGAAGTCGAAATGGTCACATTTTCCTCTTTTCCTCCATCACCCTGGGAGTGTTGTACCGGAGAGGAGGCAGAGGAAGGAGAAGCTGTAAACAAAGAAGCTGCCAGAACACCTACTTTCCCTTTATCTCCAGGATCCAGGCCCAAAGTTTGGGCGTATCGTGCTGGGGAGGAAGGAGATCAAGTGACAGAGGAAAAAAAGACAGAAAATACAGAAGCCATAAAGAGCTCCATTTCCGCGTCATCATCAGGCTTTCACCCTGGGGCCTGGGAGTGTGGTTCAGGAGAGGAGTCTCAGGAGGAGGAAGACGATGTGAGTGACTCAGGAGCAGCTGAGGAGGAGGGAGAAGCTGAGAGGCCCTCTTCCATTTCACCCACAAGTGCCTTCATCAGGGCCTGGGTGTATCAGCCAGGGGAGGACACAGAGGAGGAGTCTGAGGAGGAGGAAGATGAATTCAGTGACTCAGGAGCAGCTGAGGAGGAGGGAGAAGCTGAGAGGCCCTCTTCCATTTCACCCACAAATGCCTTCATCAGGGCCTGGGTGTATCGGCCGGGGGAGGACACAGAGGAGGAGTCTGAGGAGGAGGAAGATGAGTTGAGTGACTCAGCTGAGGAGGAGGGAGAAGCTGAGAGGCCCTCTTCCATCCCACCCACAAGTGCCTTCATCAGGGCCTGGGTGTATCGGCCAGGGGAGGACACAGAGGAGGAAGATGAGAATGAGGAGGAAGAGGATTCAGAAGCCACTGACTCAGCGCCAAGGCCCTCCCTTCAGGCTCAGAGCGCCCTCCTCAGGGGCTGGAGCTGTCAGCCGGGAAAGGACCTGGAGGGAAGGGAAGTTGCTGAGGAGCGGGGAGAAGCTGAGCCCCACCCCTTCCGAGTGGCCATCTATTTACCTGGAGAGAGGCCACCACCCCCCTGGGCTCCTCCTCAGCTACCCGTCCGACTGCAGAGGCGACTCAAGTCCACAGAAACCCCCACCCGGCATCCTGACCCTGAGACTCCCGGAAAGGCCAGAAAGGTGGGTGCTGAGGGCTCAGTTTCTCCAGTTTTAGGGAGGAGCTAACTTAACTTCCTGCCTGGGGCTCCTGGGCTGCAGGTGGGGGGGCTGAACGCCCCAACTTCCGGGTCCCCTGGGTGTTGCAGAGGCTTGCGTGTGAACTCTGCTGGGAGGGCTGTGTTCACTGTAATGCAATCCTCTGCAAGAGGCTGGGCCCCTGGGAGGTGAGGAAGCAGGTGCGGTTCATTGTCAATGCCGGGGAACCCGCCGCCTCCACCTGCAGCATCCGGAGGGGTGAATGGCTAGCAGGTGACTCATGGGACCACAGGCATTCGTGTGTAACTGATTTGTTTGGTTCTCTCTCTCTCTCTGCCCGCCCTCCCCCTACCCCCACCTGTGGACACGTGTGTCTTGTGTCTGTGCTGGTCCATCTCTAGGTACGTTTCTCTGAGAAGGTCTCTGTCCGTCTACTCGCTGTCTGGGCAGGACCAGCCCGGGCCGCCCGCCGGGGACCCTGGGAACAGCTCGCCCGAGATCGAAGTCGCTTTGCCCGTCGCATTGCCCAGGCCCAGGAGCAGCTGGGCCCCTGTCTCACCCCTGCTGCCCGGGCCAGAGCCTGGGCCCGCCTCGGGAACCCTCCGCCTCCTCTGGCCGTCACACCCACTCCTACCCAGATCTTACCATCACCCTCCATCCAGGCCACACTCCTGAGCCCTTATAGGCCATCTTCCTTCGCCCCCCTGTCCCTGTCTCCTGGCCTGGACCTCAGTGGGAGGCGTGGCTAAGATCATGTAGTTTCATGTTTATATTATTTATTTATTATTTTGTATATTGTTTTATATAACAAATAAACTTTATTTGTAGCAAGCCATGTCCTTGTCACTATACGTATCTGAACTGACTGTATCCACTATGCTCAGGATTAAGGAGAGTACTTGGTAGAGAATAAACTTGTATTTCCTGTCATCACACAAATTTGCTGCTGCTTCTGTTGAACTAAGGGGCTGGTGGGTCTTGTTAATTTTTCTTTGGCAGCTGCCTAAATTTTATTAAACTTGGGACAGGGGCGCCTGGGTGGCTCAGTCGGTTAAGGTCTGACTTTGGCTCGGGTCATGATCTCACGGTTTGTGAGTTTAAGCACAGCATCGGGCTCTGTGCTGTTGGCACGGAGCCTGCTTCGAATCTTCTGTCTCTCTCTGCCTCTCCCCCACTGGTTCTCTCTCTCTCTCAAATAAATTTGGGACGGTTATCTCCCCAAGGGGGTTAGGAGTTGGACTCACTGATCTCAAAAAAAAGGGGGGGGCACCTGGGTGGCTTAGTTGGTTAAGCGTCCGACTTTCGCTTAGGTCATGATCTCTCGGTTCATGGGTTCGAGCCTCGCGTCGGGCTCTGTGCTGACTGCCAGCTCAGAGCCTGGAGCCTATTTCAGAGTCTGTATCTCCCTCTCTCTCTGACCCTCCCCTGCTCACGCTGTCTCTCGCTCTCTCCTAGAAGTAAATAAAAATATTAAAAAAAAAAAGGTTCAGGGCCACCTAGGTGGCTCTGTGGGTTAAGCATCTCACTTTGGCTCAGGTCATGATCTTGCTGTGAGTTCGAGCCCCATGTCAGGCTCTGTGCTGACAGCTCAGAGCCTGGAGCCTGCTTCGGATTCGGTCTTCTTCCCTCTCTTCCCCTCTCCCAGTCACTTTCTGTCTGTCTGTTTCTCTCAAAAATAAACACTTAACAAAACGCTTCATTTCTAGTCTTCCGTGCCTCCCTGGAATATACCCATCCCCCCTACTAGTCATTTAAATGGTGAATTGCTTAAGGCTCTCAGCTATCCAATTTCACATTTATAAGCCCTGTTCAAAAGATTGTTTTCTTACTTATAAAATGTGACTAACAATAGCATATACGTTATAGGATTGTAAGGCCTCAAAGGAGTTCTTACTGATTTTAAGTAATTCCTATACCCAATGTGGGGCTTGAACTCAACCTTGAGATCAAGAGTCGCACCCTCCAGGGGCACCTGGGTGGCTTAGTTGGTTAAGCGTCCGACTTTCGCTTGGGTCATGATCTCACGGTTCGTGGGTTCAAGCCCCGCGTCGGGCTCTGTGCTGACTGCCAGCTCAGAGCCTGGAGCCTGTTTCAGTCTGTGACTCTCTCTCTCTCTGACCCTCCCCTGCTCACGCTGTCGCTCGCTTTCTCTCCTAGAAATAAATAAATAAAAATGTTAAAAAAAAAATTAAAAAAAAAGAGTCGCACCCTCCAATAACTGAGCCAGCCACACACTCCAAGGAGTTCATATTTAAGACAGTCCTTGCCACAGGCGCCTGGCTGGCTCAGTAGGTTAAGCAAATGACTCAATTCAGGTCATGATCTCCCGGTTCATAAGATCGAGCCCCATGTTGGGCTGCGTGCTGGCAATGAAGTCTGCTTGGGATTCTCTCGCGTGCTTTCTGCCCCTCCTGTTCATGCTCCATCTTGCGCACCTGTGCACTCACTCTTTCCCTTTCAAAACAGGGGCACCTGGGTGGCTCAGTCAGTTAAGCATAGGACTCCTGATTTCGGCTCAGGTCATGATCTCACAGTTCCTGGGTTGAAGCCCCTCATCAGGCTCTCTGCTGACAGTGCGAAGCCTGCTTGGGATTCTCTCCCTCCCACTCTACCTCTCCTCTGCTTGTGCTTTCTCTCAAAACAATATGTATTTTGATAAACTTAAAAAATATTTTAATTATTCTCACTCTCACCCATGCATGTCTTGATTCAAATTTACATCTCCAACTTAGAAGTCTTTTCTGACCTTGTAAGTTCTGTCCAGCAGTTAAATGTCCTGTCTCTTGTCTGGCCTCTGCCCCTGGCCACTCTCCACTGGTTCCTCAGGCTCCTCCCACACTACTCTTCCATTTGTTCAAGTCCCTTTCCACTTTAAGACCTTTGTAGAAGCTGTGACTACTGCCTGATGTTCCACCCCTGACCCCTCTGGCACTAGCTCCTTGTGATTCTTCAGATGTGGTATGAAAAATCATGGTATTTTCGGGGCACCTGGGTGGCTCAGTTGGTTAAGCGTCCAACTTCGGCTCAGGTCATGATCTCATGGTTGGTGGGTTCGAGCCCTGCATGGGGCTCGCTCAGAGGCTGGAGCCTGTTTTGGATTCTATGTCTCCCTCTCTCTCTGACCCTTCCCAAGCTTGCGTGCTCTCTCTCTCTCAGAAATAAATAAAACATTAAAACAATTTAAAAAAGAAAAAGAAAAATCACGGTATATTCAGGATACCTTGATCTGACCCAGCTGACCTGTGCCTACACTTTTCCCTTCTATGGAGCTTTTCTCCTTCGTTGCAGAGGAGCATTTGGGTTTTTTGTGGTTTAAGACCCATCTCCCAGGAATGTGAGTCCCAGGAAAGCAGGTGCTGGTGAAAAGCCCACTCCCTGAATCACACAACTGGGCATCCAGGCAGCACACGAGGTGTTGGTTAATTGTAAGGTGGTGCAAAAGAAGTCATGCTGAGGCCCTTCCTCCCAATGAGCAGGCACGGAAGCTGATGAGGGTATGGTATTTCATTGGATTACTCACATGCCAGCTTCCCATCGAAGCTGGACAAGCAGATGGCAAAGGCTTGGAGAGGGCAAAGCGGGAAGCGGAAGTCCATGGTGAACGTGTCGGGGGCCACGCGGCCAAACTGGAGCACAAGGTAGTTAGCTGAGGACGAGGAGCATGAAGTAGTTAGTTGAGAACGAGGTCAGGATCTAAGCCCAGCCGCACCCCTCAACTCCTTTCCGCGGTCCTCTGAACTTCCAGAACTACCCAAAGGCTGCGCGGCACGCCCGTTAAGACCAGAAACCCTCGGAGGGGCGTTTAAAAAACTACATTAAAAAAACTGCATTTCCCAATAGGCTTTGCAACAGCGAGGAGCCGCCCCTGCTTAGAAAAACGCTCAAGTGCTGATGGGAGGAGTAGTTCATGTCCGCTCATGCCACCCTCCAACCGCCCCCGCCCCGCCCCTTTACGGCCCCGCCCAGGTAAACCGGTTCTTAGGAGCTCACGGTCATCTGGATGCACAATCTGGAAGTTCTTGACCGAGGCCCGAGTGACCCGACCGTGAAAATTGAGTACGTAGGCGCCGCTCTCGTCGCTCCACGATGGGGCTTTGTTTTGCAGCAGGACCAGTCCCTGGCTAGATCCTCGTTGGAGGCGACTCAGTAGTGACTCTTGTTCCTAGAAGATACCGTAGGGGGCGTGGCTAACCTACCACCAACGAGCCTTTTCCTCCGGATGCAGATTTTTGAGTCTCTAGTCTCGCTCCCTTGGGAAACATAGAAGTGTAACAAAGTCCCTCTGGCTTCACATATGACCTTCTGCAAACCATGACCCTCCCCCTTCTTCCTTAGGACCTATGGGCGGTCCCCCAGACTTTCCTCTCGCACTGACCCAGGGATTCTCAACCTTAGCCCACTCACGTTTTGTGGCTGCACGATGATTCTCTGGTTCTGGGCATCGATTCCTGGAATGATCACAGTCATTTTCCGGGGCCCTCGGAATCCCAATACGTTGGTCTCCTGCGGGAATTATGCTCAGGTTGGCCTGGCTCTTTCTCCCTCCCTCCCGTCCTGCTTCATTCTCTCGTCTCCTGGAAACTCACATAGCACACAGCCCCCAGCTCCTCTCTGATCCGAGCGGTCTCCGGGACAAAATTCTTCCTCTCAGGATTCACCCCATTGTCAAAGATGGTGAACTTGGTGCCCAGGACATTAGATCTGCTCCAGGAGCGGGGTGGTCAGAGTAAAAATAATAATTACTGTTTTGCTGCACCTTGAGTGCTTTCCCACTGTCATCAACTCTTCCAATTAACCCTCTACTTGAGACTTAAGTTTAGTGTTCGTGTATCCACAGTCCCAGCCCCTTTGTTTCTTTGATAAGCCATGACTGTCAGCCCCCTGCCTTAGCTTTTTAGGAACATTCTTCCCCCAAAGATGCAAGAATGCATGCATTACATTACATACATACATTACAGCCCTCTCCCACAGGAATTAAGGAGTCCCACCCCTCCTTGCCTCTCCAGAAGTCAAATGTCTTTTTTAGTTTTTTTTTAGTTTATTTATTTTGAGAGAGAGAGAAAGAGAGAGAGAGAATCCCAAGCAGGCTTCGCATTGTCAGCACAGAGCCTGACTTCACGCTCAATCTCACCAACCATGGGATCAGGACCTGAGCCGAAATCAAGACTCCGGCGTTTAACAGACTGAGCCACCCAGGCACCCCCAGAAGTCAAATGTCCTAAATGTCAATCTCTGCTCCAAAGCCCTGGTCCTATTTCCAACCACCCTGGGGCTACCACCTGAAGAAATACAGAATCCATCAGTCTGTAAGGCAAAAGGTCCTAGAACAGGTGGAAATTGTGCTCTGTAGACTTCTGGGAAATGTAGTTCACTCGTCCCCCGTCACTGCTGCCATTCCCCCCGACACCCGTTTTTCACACATATCAGGGTTCTGCCCACCTGACTTTACCCACAAAGTTGTCCCCATCCCGAGACAGGTCTGTGGGGTCCAGGGAAATGAGGTAATTAGAGGTTTTGCTCCGTTTTCTCTTGCGCCCAGCCAGGAGGAAGTGCTGTGGGTAGGAAGAACAGCCCATCAGAATCAATTTCTGGTATCTGGCTAGGGTCAGGGGTCCAAGACAAGGAAACGCCATGTCCCCAAGACAGAGGAGAGGGTAATGGAGCAATAAGCATCTCGAGACTTGCCAGGAGATGTGGCTCTCACTGAAGGAAGTCATCAGCTAGGTCCAGAAGGGGCGTTTCACGTCTTAATATCCCTTCCGCTATTGGGTCCTGGGTCAGGACTGAGCACAGGCAGAGGGGAGCCTAACTGTGGCAAGGCTGGGTGGCTTTGGAGATTACGGAAGAGCCTCACTTGGACTTTGGTAGGCATTTTATCGGGGAAAAGTCTGGCACTACTGAGAAAGGAGAAAGCCTCTTTTTGGGAGAGTGCCTTGAAAGAGACCACCACACGGTGTGGGAACTGGCCAGCTTGCGAGGGACAAGGCCTGGCTCTAGGGGAGGGGCTTGGTTCCGGGGGGCGGGGCTTATCCAAGGAATGGGGGCGGGGGCGCTGATAGATAAGAAGGTTCAATAAGGGGACAGACTTGGACAGACACAATGGGGCTAATACCTCGAGAGAGTATGTAAGGGGTGGAGTTTTGGACCCTGACTTTGAGATGGGCGGGCTCATCTCAAGAGTGCACGAGGCTTAGTTATGAGGTTGGTTAGGGCCACTGAGAAAGGAGCCTAGTTCTATGAAGGACGGGGCTTGGCGTTGGACTTCACAAGTCCTAGCTCAACGAGAGCAAGACCTGGAACCGTTTAAGTCCTGACCTCGCTCAGAAAGGGGCGGGACTTGCCCCTGGGAGGTGGAGCTTAATCAAGAGGCTGTCAGACCGCACCTTCCGGCCGTCGGCCGCCTCCAGGTAGAGATAGTAGAAAGGGAACATGCCCTTGTCTACCCCGCGCTTGTCGCGGCTGATGCGGCACTGCACTGTGCGGCCGCGCAGCGCCGGCCGCAGCACATACGCTTCCATGTCTTCTCCCAGTCGAGGGCCTGGGGCGCGGGGAGGCGAGCGGGACGAGCTCCCTACACCACTGCTGTCTGCGCCGCTCTCGCCTTCCGGGGTCCCTGACACCTCCTCTTCGGCCGCTCCTGGGGAGTTCACGGTAGACTGCGACTCCTCTTGTTTCTCTTGCGAGTCTTCGCCCTAGCCCACGCGCCAAATTCAAATTCAGGGGACAGAGCTGAGACCCGCCCCCACCCCAGACCTGACAACTAGTGATTGGCCATGCCAGCTCAGGGTTACGCCCTCCCTCAATCACGTCCTCTGCCTACTGGCCAAGCATCTTGGCCACCTGCTGATTGGCCAGTACCTCCAAGGGGCCCACCCAGCCTAGCCCTCAGCATCTGTTCATTGGTTACCACTAATAACGTCCCTCTGAAGCCACGCCCACTCGATCAACCGCTAGGAGAATCCTTTTGAAAGCACTGTCCGTTCAGTTAAAACCAGTGATGATTCGGTCTAGTAACATATAATACGGCCCAGATCCACCCAATTGAAACTACTTAACTTACTTCCATCAAAAGCGAGTGCCAATTGGCTCTTCTCTATCACTGTTTCACCCTCTCTCTCCAAAGCTCGCTGCGTTTTGGTGGGCTGGATTTTAATGTATGTGCTTACACAAATTTAAATCCTCTAGATTGGGTTCGTAAATGGTACACAGAGAACTACTAGCCCAATCATAACAGGTTCCACCCACCAGTAAAAAGGGCCTCTGACTGGGCTGCAGAGTTTTACGCCCACCCACTCTCGAGTCCCAGGTTAGCCTTTCTGCTATCTCCTGAGCGTCTGTGCCACCTCCCACCTCTTTGGAGGCCAAGTCTCCACGTCCCCCGTCACCATCCATTCCAGGGTTTGGTCCTGGACTGGGTGCCTCATATTCATCTCCAACATCCTGGGATTTGCTCTCTTCCTGTGCACTGGCCCCTAAGGGGTGGAAGAAGCCATGAGACTTGGCTCAGGACACCTGGATCCCAGGAACTCGGGACAAGGTCACCTGGAAAAGGCCAGATATCCTGGGTTTCTGGCCTCTTCGTATTACCCAGCACACTCACTTTCCATATCCTCTTCCTCCCCCATGTACACTGGCTGAGAAGCCTCTAACTACCCTGGATCTAAGGACAGAGAGGGGTTAGAGTCCTCGGTTTCCCTTCTCCCAAAGACCACCTCAGAGAGACTGGGAGCTAAAAAGGGGCAGAGGAATGAAGTTTGGGACGATAATTATTGGGGCGCCCGTGTGGCTCAGTCAATGAAGCCTCCGACTTTGGCTCAGGTCATGATCTCAAGGTCCACGGGTTGGAGCCTGGAGCCCACTTCAGATTCTATGTCTCCTTCTCTTTCTGCCCTTTCCCTGCTCGTACTCTCTCTCTCTTTCTCAAAACAAACAAACAAACATTAAAATTTCTTTTCAAAAGGAGTCCTGCTATTGGATCATTGGTCATGTCATGAGAAGAGAAGGAACTGTGATACAATATCATTAAGAAATAAAAAGTAATAAAGTACTGATAATGCTACAGCCTAAATGAACATTAAAAACATGCTACGCAAAAGAAGCCAAAGATCATATACTATCTTATTCGATTTAAATGGAATGTCCAGAATAGGCAGATCTAAAGGGATAGATTAGTGGTTGCTTAGGGCTGGAGGTATGAGGTGTGTATGTTGGGGGGTAGGGGATGTCACTGCAAAAAAGGTACAGGGTTTCTTTTGGGATAATGCTAATCTTCTACAATTGAATGTGGCGATGGTTGCTCATCTCTGTAAATATACCAAAAAGCATGGGATTGTAAACTGTTAATGAACGAATTGTATGGTACGTGGAATATATTTCAATAAAGCTGTTACAAAGAGGGGAAGAGGATTTCACCCAGTGTCCCCGAAATTACCAGATCGTTTGCGGGGTGGCCAACCCCTGCGTCGAGTCCCCAGAGGCTCTTTGTGAGGAGGTGGAGAAGCGGGAACATCCTCCACGGACACTTCCTCCAACTCCGGATCGGAACTCTCTGGTAGCCAGGAGAAGGAGAAGGGACTAGAGACCAGGATGGCTGGGCAGGGCAGGGGGAGGGGAGCCTGGAGATTCAGGTTCCTGAGTGTTGGAGAAGGAGTTTCAGGACCCAGATTCTGGTGTGAGGGATGACAAAACCCAGGGTGGGCTGGACTCCTGGGTCCTTTCGAGAGAAAGTTGGAGGTTCCAGAGTCCTGAATTCTGGTGGGAGTGTAGTTCTGGGCTATAGGAGGTCCAAGGACTCGAGATTACCTGCTTCTGTCGGCGAAGCCAATGGGCCACGCTCGCCGCTGCCATCTCCACCGCAGATCACGATACCCAGGGCACTGTGAACACCAGAGCGCAGATGTGCCTCTGGCACGTTCTCTTGGAGGAAAGGGTTCCCAAGGCCTGGGAAAAGGGGCAGCGGGGCCCATTAACACGATGTACAAATTCCATCCCTCTGCGAAGATCTGCTTCCTCACAGACTCCCAGGTACCGTCCTTGATTGACCATCCAAACCCCTGAGACCCATTCAGAACGCAAACTCCATCCTAAGGCTCAAGCAAGCACAGCCCTGCGGCTAAATTGTTGCAGACTGTGGGGGCCCACAATCCCACAGGGGGCTCTCGGTCTCTAAATTATCCCCACGCTTTGTTTAATTCCAGCCTTCATTCTCTCCTGACGGAGGAATCGAGTCCTTAGGGCTTTTCCAGGCCCCGCCCCCGAACTCCAAGAAGCCCAATCAAGAGAGTCTCTCCGGCCTCACCTCCCAGACGGACCAAGCCCCGCCCCCGCGCTCTTGCTTTCGCGCCGCTGAGCTCACACTGGTCCTGCTCCTGGGTCCCCAAGGGTCCTGCACTGGGCTCTTCTGGATTCCGCTCGGCCCCATCCCAAGTTCCCACAGACCCCTCCCTCCAGACCTAGGCTCCTGCCGTCCACTGAGAACTTTCCCTCACCGCTGTCACCTGCAATGCGCTCCTCCCGCCGCCATGGTCCCCGGGGCCGCAGAGAAGCGTCGGGATTGGCCTGAACCATGAGGGGCTCTTGGCGCTTCCGCCGCTGCTTCTTCTCAAAAAGCCTCCGCTGCAGGGGTGGAAAGGGGGTGAGGGGTGGGGGCCAGGAACCGGACAGGAAGACAGGGGTGAATAAGGGCCTGAGGCAAGGGGAGGCATGCGTGGGAAGGAGAGTCCAGGAATCCAGACTCTCAGCGCCTCAGCCCCTCCTTCCTCAGATCCAGGAGTCCTCCCGCAGGACCCCAGCAGTCCTGCCCCCCAGAACCTTCATTCCTTAGAAATTTGGGATTCTCGTCACCAAGGTTTGCTTGTTTACGATCCCAACTTCCTATTTTCTCATTTCCCAATTGCACACTTGAGGCTTGGAGGGAGCCAAAGAAAGGGGGCCAGGAGTCCCGGAGCGAGTCCTGGGGGTGGTGCTCCTGGAAGCTATGGACAAGGGAAGAGGGTGGGCAGGACTCCCGGGCATAGTACCTGCTGTTCCAGCTTCTGGAGCCTCATGGCGGCCGGCTCATCCCCCAGAAGCCTGAGAGAGGTGCAGGCTCATGGTGACAGCAAGCAGGGCAATACCTCCCCCCCCCCCGCCCCGCCCCATCGCTTCCTTCCCTAACCCCCTCCCATCCCAACATCCCCCTCCCTGCCCTCGCGAACTGCCCAAGAGCCTCTCCTTCCCTTCCTTCTCCCACCCAAACTTGGGGTTCTGAGCACTTGTGAGGTCACAGAAAAGTTCCGAAACTTTTTCCCCAGCATTGGCCTGTCTGGAATCCAGGAGTCAGAGATCCCAGGCCCCTCCTTGTCAGGACTCAGGAGTCCAGGCCCCCCGGCCCCTTACTGCTAGGCTGATGGTGCCGAACGAACTGGCCAACATGGGTATGAAGCCAGAGTTGAATGGGTGTGGGCATAATCACACTTTGAGTTCCTCCTGCACCCCCATTTCCCCATCCCTGCCCACCCTGCTCTCCCCACTCACTCTTTCTTCCATGTGTCATTCTCCTGAGACATCCTGGAGAAGCAAGACTGAGGCGTCAGGACACAGATCAAACGTCCCAGCGGACTCTGTCTGTCCTCTAACACCCGATCGTATGCTTTGAATCTTCTCCTGGACGCAGGCAGCCCGAATTCCAGGGACCCAGCAGCCTGTTTGCAGCTTGCATTACTTTCGGGGGCCCAGGAATCCGGTTCTCTCTCCCCCAAATAGCTAACTCTTCTATACTCAGGCATAGGAACGTAGGACCCTGGACCCCCAGGGACTCCAGACCTCCAGCACCCACCTGCCTGGGATCCTGGAAACTCCTCTCCTCTTCCCTGCAGAGAGGCTTTTCACATTCAAGCCTCACCAACAAAGTAATGACCCCTGGCCTCCAGCTGCAGCCAGGCAACCCTGCTCGGGGGTTCTGAATTGGAACGGCATGCAGATGCTCCTTAAAGGGACCCGAGAGAGCCAGCACCACAGGGTCGCTCTCTCACTCTCTCTCTCTCTCGGCTTATATATTAGAAACGTATAAGATGACCAACAGCTACCGACTGATCTGTAACTGGCAGCCACTTCTTGGGGGAAAAAATAAATGGGAAAACTACAACAGCCGTGAGGCGAAGGGGCCCGAGAGGCCCGCGGAAGTTGCCTCATTTTCCACCTGCCTGCAGGGAATTGTAGTTCTCTTTGAAATCCTCCGCTTTCCTTTCGCCTAAAAGGCAGGAAATGCGGCGTCAAGGGGTAGAGCTTCCGAGAAAGGAGGAGAGCCTTTCGAGAACAGGCTAGCGACTTCCACGAGGGGCGGGCCGCTAGACAGGGTCCAAGGGGCCCGAAGCCAGCGCGGACCAATCAGGCCGCCGAGGGCGGGTCCTCTGCGGGAAAGTGGGCGTGGCCTAGGGGGGAAATCACCGGAACGCACCGGAGGTCCGAGCCCGGGAAAACGCCCTCTGCGGTGAGGGAAAGGTGAGCGGCTGCGGGGGTCCTAGACGGGGTCCTGGGGAGGGGCGGGAGGAAGGGACCCAGAGGGCTGGAAAGCTGGGTCTCGGGGAGGATGGACTGAGCACCAGTACTTGTAGACCCGGGCGAAAGAGGAGGCTGGGGGGTCCTGGACCTTTGGTTCTGGGGAAGGGGACTGAGATCCCGGATTCCTGAGTCTGAGAGAAGAAGCTGGGTGCTGGGAGCCCGGACTCCTGGGTCTATGGAAGGAAGAGCTGGAGGTTCGGAATCCCGTGTCCCGGGAAACGAGACGCTTTGAGGCTTGACTTTTAGATGGGGGGCGGGGGGCGGGGGGACGACGCTGGGGGCCCAGACTCCTGGGTCCAGGGGAGTAAACGACTTGGGACAAATATCCACCCCTCTGCCCCCCACAGGCCACGTCGCCATGCCTTCCTCCGGGCCCCGCGCTGTCTTCCTCCTGCTACCGCTGCTGCTGCTGAGTGTTGTTTTGGCGGTGCCCCTGGAGCGAGGGACGCCCCAGCAGGAGACCCCTGCGACCGAGAGCCCCGTGAGTGGCCCTGCCCTCCTCTCCAGCCAGGTGTTTGCAAGTGGTACTACAGTTCCCGCAAATCTCTGTCGCCCCTGGGTGGATACTTCCCCCAGGGTTGCAGCCTGGAGTTTGACATTCTTTGCAGTCCCGGTGCTTTTGATGTTGTGAAAAACGTGGGGGGGGGGGGGCTGCATATTTCTAAGTCCCTGGCTCTGAGCTGTGGGAAATCAGGTCAGATTTTAAGTGACAAATCTGCATTAACCCCTACCTAAACCTCTATTCGTTTAAGCCCCCCCCCCAGCAGGAATCTGGGGAAAAAGAACTACATTTCCCAGGAGCACCTGCAGCAGGTGGTGTTAGCCAACTGGAGTGTTCTCAGTTCATGGAGTGCCTAGGAAGGGACATGTAAACGGCCCATATGTTAATTCCAGCATGTGTTTATCAAATGCTAGGAAGCCTTCCGGGTCTTAGGAATTTGGAACTTTAAACCTCTTCTCAAGGCCAAGGTCCTGATTTGTGGCCTGAATCTGCCCATAGCGCCTATCAGTAAAGGGCATGTTACTATCTCTGGAACACTCGTCTCTGTTTGGTGTGGCGGTCCTGTCCCGACCTTGTGAATTAGGCTGCTGCTTTGTGAAACCTTTGCTGACACAGAAGGACACCTTTGAGTCCCCTTTCCCTTCATTCATTGCACACATTTCTTGAGTGCCTCCTATGATCAGGCCCATTGCTGCTGCAGCCCCGTGCCCTCAGGGACCAGCCTCACCTCGCCAGGAAGCGACCATTGGGGCTCCCTGAGAACGGACACCAGAGTGATAGTCAAGGATGTCAGGTCACGAGCTGAAATCTGAAGTGCAGAGAAAAGCATTCCAGGCAGAGGGAACAGCCTGAGCAATGGCTGTGTGGTGGGGAAAGTAGAGTGAGTGGAAGGGCATGGAGGTGGCCAGTGTGATTGGAGCAGAGTGAGCCCAGGGGCCGATTATTCAGAGCGTCAGTGGGTACTCGTGTTTTTTTTTTTTTAACATTTATTTTATTTATTTATTATTCTTAATGTTTATTTTTGAGAGAGCAAGAGAGAGACAAAGCACTAGTGGGGGAGGGACAGAGAGAGAGGGAGACACAGAATCTGAAGCAGGCTCCAGGCTCTGCAGTGTCAGCACAGAGCCCGACGTGGGGCTTGAACCCACGAGCCATGAGATCATGACCTGCGCCGAAGTCAGATGCTCAACCAACTGAGCCACCCAGGCGCCCCAATGTTTATTTATTTTTGAGAGAGAGAGAGAGCACATGTGTGAGTTGGGGAGGGGCTGAGAGAGGGGGAGACAGAGGGATCTGAAGTGGGCTCTGTGCTGACAGCAGAGAGCCTGATATGGGGCTTGATCTCATAAACAGTGAGATCATGACCTGAGCCCAAGTCAGAAGCTTAACCGACTGAGCCACCCAGGCGCCCCTTATTGCCTGTTTTACAATGGAAGAGTGAGGCCCAGGAAGAAGAGTGTGCTGACCACGGGGCAGGTCTGGGTCCAGGAGCCTAGTGATTTTTGTCGGTCTTGGTCACCTGCTATATCCCCTGTAACGGTCCCCGGCACGCAGTAGGGGCTCAGTGAGCACTTGACAAATGATGAATGAGTGTGTGTCTCACTACTTGCCAACAAGTACTCGTGTGTCAGCTCTAGGCACCCACTCCGTGCTCAGGGGTGGGCTGGGTGTTTACCCATGTGATTTTCACTTGGTCTCCACTGCAGGCCTGGGAAGGGAGGAATGCTGTGGCCCAGAAGATGAGGCAGGTAGCCTGCGGTCACAGAGCAGAAGGGGATTGGACCTGGGGTCGGCTGGCTCCGAAGCCTTTGTCCCATGGCGCAGGCCTGCCCCTTGCTCCAAGCGGGGCGTCTCTGGGTCCCTCAGCAGGTGCCCAGGGGAGCGGGGCCTGGGTCCTACCTGCAGGGAGGAGCCGGGGGGGGGGCTGGGCTGCTACCTTCATCCTTGTCGCCCTAGGACACAGGCCTGTACTACCATCGGTACCTCCAGGAAGTCATCAACGTGCTGGAGACGGATGGGCATTTCCGCGAGAAGCTGCAGGCTGCCAACGCAGAGGACATCAAGGTGTGGCCCGGGTGCGAGCCAGATTCAGCAGGGGGAGGGGCGGGGGGAGGAGCCAGGGGAAGGAGGAAGGGTGCCTGCCCAGAGGACAGAGTCCAGGCAAGGACCCGATTTTCAAGAGGCCACGTGTCCCCAGTCCTCATAAAACCGAGGCAGGGAGGCACGTCTTCTGGGTGCCGCACGGCTGGGAGGGGGTTTGAGGAACACCGAATGTGTGGTTAAGCGTGGGAGCGGAGGACACAGGCTCCTTTGCACCCTGTGTGAACGCACCTCGCCGTGCCTCAGTTTCCCTGTCTGTAAAACAGGCTGACCTGCATTACAGGGCTCGGGTTAGGATCATCCAAGGGTAAGATGCACAAAGGGCTGAGACAGGCCGGGTAGCGGCCCTTGGCCCTGCCGTGTGAGTGCTGGTTCCATGGAACGTTCGATGTACTGCATTGTGCTCAGGAAGAATGCAAAACCCTAGAGGTGCTGGGAACACTAGACTGGCATCACCTCCAGCTCGTGTAAGGCCTCCAGAGGGGCTGAGGTAATCCTCATTGTTTTTTAAGTTTATTTATTTTGAGAGAGACAGAGCGCATGAGCTGGGGGAGGGGCAGAGAGAGAGAGAGAGAGAGAGGGAGGCAGACTCCCAAGCAGGCTCCACGAATTGAGCACAGAGCCCGAGGCGGGGTTCAAACTCATGAAACTGAGATCATGACCTGAGCCGGAATTAGGAGTCAGACGCTTAACTGGCTGAGCTCAGACCCCAGCTTGGAGAGGATGCTGCCTTCCCGGTTCCGTTCCTCCTCCTCCACCCCCCTCACCCCCCACCCCCCACCCCCCACCGCCTCCCTGTTCAGGTGCCTCCCGGAGGCTCTAAATGCCTCAGCCCAGGGCACAGGGCCTGGGACTGGTGGGAAGGTGGCCCTGGTCCCCCAGAACATCCAGCTCTTCCTGGCCCAGTGCTTATCTGGCCCCCAGTGAAGGATGGGCAGAAGCAGAGACTGTAGAGCCCCACCCCTTCCACTGCCCGGCTGGCAGAGCCCAGGTTCAAGAGCCTGTCATCAAACTGGCCCAATGCCACACAACTGGAAAGCGACCTTGGAAAGGGCTCGGCCAGGGAGGCGGGCAGGTTCGGGACTGGGACATTGCCTGCCTTCAAGCCAGCTCCTCCTTATGCACTCAGGGCCAGGGCCCGTACCCTCTGTGCACGCACTGGGTCCTTTCTGCGAAAATGAGGAGGCTGAGCCAGATGTGGGGCTCGAACTCACAAAATCGCAAGATCATGACCTGAGCGGAAACCAAGAGTCAGACGCTTAACTGTCTGAGCCCCCCAGGCGCCCATGGTTGAGGCCCGGAGCAGGAAAGGGATGCAGGGGTGCCAACCTACTACCCTCGCTGTTTGAGGGCCCTCGGACAAGTGGCTTCTTCACCAGGGCCTCAGTTTATCTGGCTGTAAAATGAGGTTGTAGGCAGGATTAGGGGACAGACCCAGGGAGTCCGGCACAGGGCTTGGCCCATAGTAGATGCCTCACTGGCTTTGGTGAATGTGACTGTCGCTACTGCCTCTCGAGAGCCACGCCTCCTGCGGGCTGGAGAGACCACGTGAGTCTCAGGTGACTGAGAAAGCAAGCTGAGCAATGACAGATAGTAGAGGGTGCTGGGGAGGCCCCAGGGAGGGCCAAGTCCAGTCTGACAAGTGAGAGAGGGCTTCTAGAAAATGGGTGGCCCTGAGTGAGGTTTGAAGTCTCACCAGGAAGGTCTGTGGGGTAGAAGTTACGGTGGGGGTGGGGCAGCGGCTTTTCAGACAGTGGGAGCTGTGTGTGCAAATGAAGCATTCTGGGGCGGCTGGGGGGCTCAGTCGGTTAAGTGTCCAGCTTCAGCTCAGGTCATGATCTTGTGGTCCGTGGGTTTGAGCCCCGTGTCGGGCTTTGTGCTGACAGCTTGGAGCCTGGAGCCTGCTTCCGATTCTGTGTCTCCCTCTCTCTCCACCCCTCCCCAGTTTTGACTCGGTCTCTCAAAAATAAAATGTTAAGGGAAAAAAATTTTTTTAATGAAGCATTCTGGTACCTTCCGCCACCTGCCAGTGGTTTCTTATAACGGACCCAAAGGAGAGAGGGGATGCGGCTGGAGAGATCCGTACGTGTAGGATCTTGAGCGCCAGTCCCAGCGATTCTGTCCTGTGGGCCCTGGGGAGGCTTGGCAGTTGTGAGCAGGACAGGGGCGGGGTTAACTCCAGGAAACAGACATAATTTGCAGTGACAGTCGAGGGGGCCCAGGGAAGCCACCTCTATCAGCAGTGTGTTGCCATCTGCTTTGAGTGTTTGTTTTTAAAGTTTATTTATTCATTTGAGAGAGACAGTGTGAGCGGGAGAGGGGCGGAGAGAGAGGGAATGAGAGAGAATCCAAAGCAGGTTCTGTACTGTCAGCGCAGAGCCCCGTGCGGGGCTTGAACTCATGAAATTGTGAAAGCATGACCCGAGCCCAAACCTAGAATCAGATGCTTAACCGACTGAGCCCCCTAGGCACCCCTGCTTTGAGTTTTGAAGGGCAGTGAGGATCTGCTTAGACTTGAAAAGTGGTGGCAGGGGAGAATCCGAGGCAGAGTGGCCAACCAGCAAGTGCAAAGGGAAGGAGGTAGGAAGGAGCCTTGAGTGTAGGCGCCAATGCCCTGTTAGTGCTGCTGGAACTGAGTGCTATTCGTTGGATGACGGGAGACGGGGCTACGGAAGTGGGCAGGGCCTCGAATGAGGGCCTGGAGTTTTTTCTCTGAGGCTCTGGGGGCAGGTATGGGGTCTGTCAGTTTTCCAGGCATCGAAAAGCTGGTAGAAGGTTCCAGAGAGGGCAGAGAAAGGACGAGGTCGCCCAGTGTGCCCCCTCCCAGTCCCCCAGCCTGACCTGCGTCCCCTCCCTATTCGGGCAGAGCGGAAAGCTGAGCCGAGAGCTGGACTTTGTCAGTCATCATGTGCGCACCAAGCTGGACGAGCTGAAGCGGCAAGAGGTGTCGCGGCTGCGAATGCTGCTCAAGGCCAAGATGGATGCTGAGCAGGAGCCCAGTAAGTGGGGGCAGGTAGGGTGGGATGGCCTCCCTCGTGGGGACTCACTCCCTGCCCCAGAAAACACACAGAGACGATTGATCGATTTTTCTTTCTAGAACATTCTACTGCTAACATAACTGATTGGGAGGTTGTTTGTTGTTTGTTTTTTGTTTTTAATGTTTATTTATTTTTGGGAGAGAGATAGAGCATGAGCTGAGGAGGGGCAGAAAGAGAGGGAGACCCAGGATCCGAAGCAGCTCCAGGCTCCGAGCTGTCAGCACAGAGCCCTATGCGGGGCTCAAACCCACGAATTTGAGATCGTGACCTGAGCCAAAGGCAGACACTTAATGGACTGAGCCTCTCAGTTTTTTGGGGTGTTTTGTTTTCAGTTTCTTTTTTTTCTTTTCTTTTCTTTTTTAAATCATGGTGATTCAGAATTTTGATGTAACTTCCAACTTCCAGAAAAAAGTTGCAAAAATCATGCAAAAAGCTCCCGAATACCCTTAACCCACATTCTCCAGATGTTAGCTTTTTTCTAGTTGCCTTTCAGTCACATTTGCAAGTTCCTCTTAGACTGTTCTCCTTTCCCCCTCTTTCAGTGTGATTTTCCTCTGAGCCACCACATTCTCCTGCATAACCACAATGGGTGATCAAAGTCAGGAAGTTTCAAAGGGTACACTGTATTTTTCCTTGCTTTGTTATTCTCTATCTCCTCTGCTGGGAAGGCATTTTTATCCGAGATTATATTTTATAGTCTAATTATTTGGCTGGGAAAAAGAAAGAAGAAATGTACCTGGAGGAGAAAGGCAGTTTTAGATTCTAAGATCCCACCCAGTGTCTTTTGTTTTAATGTTTATTTATTTTTGAGAGAGAGAGCACAAGCAGGGGAGGGGCAGAGAGAGAGGGAGACCCAGAATCCAAGGCAGGCTTCAGGCTCCGAGCTGTCAGCACAGAGCCCGACGTGGGGCTCGAACTCACAAACCGTGAGATCATGACCTGAGCTGAAGTCAGATGCTTAACCAACTGAGCCACCCCGGCACTCCAGATCCCAGCCAATTTCTAACAATCCCAGAGAGGATTTGTCAGAGTGTGTCTGAACCACAGTATTTCTTTCTTTCTTTTTTTTTAATGTTTGTTTATTTTTGAGAGAGAGAGAGAGAGAGCATGGTTGGATGGGCCCGAGTAGGGAAGGGACAGAGTAAAGAGGGAGACAGAGGATCCGAAGCAGAGGCTCTGAGCTGTCAGCACAGAGCCTGACTTGGGGCTCAAACTCACAGACCCTTAGATCATGACTTGAGCTGAAGTCAGACGCTTAACTGACTGAGCCACCCCGGCGCCCCCACATTATTTATTTTATTTTTTATTAAAAAAAAAAATTTTTTAACATTTATTTATTTTTGAGGGACAGGGAGACAGAGCATGAGCAGGGGAGGGGCAGAGAGAGAGAGAAGGAGACACTGAGTCCAAAGCAGGCTCCAGGCTCTGAGCTGTCAGCATAGAGCCCGACACCAGGCTCGAACTCACGAACTGTGAGATCATGTACGATGTGAGCCGAAATCGGCTGCTTCACCGACTGAGCCCCCCAGGCGGCCCACATTATTTCTTTTAATAGCTTTATTGAAATACAATTCACACGTCATATAACTTACCCATTTAATGGGTACCATTCATTGGTTGTTATTGATTCACAGGTATGTACCACCATCACCATTATAATCCCCCCCAAAATCAAACCCAGAACCCCTCGGCTATCACCCCCCACCCAGCCTCTGCAACCAGCCCCCTACTTCTGGTCTCTGGATTTACCTATTTCTGGACATGTAAATGGAATCCTACCATCCATGACCTTTCGTACCTGGCTTCCTTCACTTAGCACAATGTTTTCAAGGGTCAACCGAAATGTGCCATGCGTCAGTCCTTTGTTCCTTTTGAGGGATGAGTAATATTCCACCGTGTGGATGGACCACACTGGGTTTATCCATTCGTCAATCGATGGGCTCCTCGGTGGTGGTTTGCCCCGCTTTGGCCATGATGGAGCGGTGGCTTTATACTTACTGTAGCTTCGTGGCGTGTCCTGGGCCGCTTGGGCATCTTCCCGCCTGTCGCTAAGTGTAAGAGCAAGCCCCCTTTATTGAGATTCACCCCCTCCTCTCCTTTCATCTCCGGACACCCCAAGGGGCTCCCGTGTTACGGATGGGGTCGCCGAGCGTTGGTGGATGGCGTGGATGGCATTGAGGGCCACCAGGAGAACCGGACTTTGTTTTCATTTCTTTTTTTTTTTTTCTTTGTTTTCATTTCTGTCAGACTCCATTGATCCATTGAGCAAACATGCCTCGAGCTCTGCTGTGTGCTGGGTACCAGGCAGCCTCCTCTGTATTACATGCCCATGCCTCCTCTGTCCTTCTGTTTTATTTATTTATTGTATTTGTTATTTGATTTAATGAACTAATTTATTTATTTTGAGAGACAGAGAGAACCTGTGGGGGAGGGGCAGAAAGAGAGAGGAGAAAGAGAGAATCTCGGGCAGGCTCTGTGCGCTCAGCACAGAGCACCATGTGGGGCTCATGAACCGTGAGGTCATGGCTTGAGCCAAAGTCTATCATTCAACCAACTGAGCCACCAGGCGCCCCTGTTTATTTGTTTTTTTGAGGGGAGGAGGCTGCATTCCTTTGCTAGGACCTGCTATAACAAAAGTGCCACAGACGGGGGTGGCCTTAACGTGAGAGATTTATTGTGTCACAGCTCTGAAGACCGGAAGTCCAAGATCAAGTTGTGGCAGGATTTGTTCCTTCTTTTTTTAAGTGTATTTATTTATTTTGAGAGAGAGAGAGAGAGAGAGAGTGTGTGCGCGCGCGCATGCGCATATGAGTGGGGGAGGGCAGATAGAGGGAGAGAGAGAATCCCAAGCAGGCTCCATGCCATCAGCACAGAGCCCGGCGCGGGGCTCGAACCCACGGACCATGAGATCATGACCTGAGCCAAAGTTGGACCCTTGACCGACTTGAGCCCCCTGGGTGTGCCCCCCCCCACATGCTAGTTATTACTACGGTTATTGTTATTTTAAACTGACCTTTAGGGCACCTCTAACCCAGGACAGAGATTTTAAACGGAAGAACATTCCATGAGGTGTTCTTTTGGGGGGAGGGTTGTTGCTGTTGATTGCTTACTGTGCCTCCCTCACCCAGGTGTGCAGCTGGATCACCTGAGCCTCCTGAAGCAGTTTGAGCACCTGGACCCCCAGAATCAGCACACGTTCGAGGCTCGGGACCTGGAGCTGCTCATTCAGACGGTAGCCGCGAAGGGGCCCGCAGGCAGAGGACTGAGGGAGGCTTTGCGGCAGGGGAACAGGGAAGGGAGCCTGGGACGCGAGCCTGCCCGCCCCGGCCTGGTGTTGTCTGAGGCCGGTGGCCGCAGAGGCCCGGGTGGTGCCCCGGAGGCTTCCCCAGAATCTCTCTGGGAAAACAGGTACGGGCAGGTGGGCTTGACCCAGTTCAGACCTTTCAAATTGCCCCTTGGCTTTGTCCTTCCCATATGACTTGTGGAGGTGGGGTTGTGGGACTGTCCCTTCTGTGTCCTTGTGGGAGGCAGAACAATGGCCCCCCAAAGATGTCATACCATATACATCCTTTTTTTTGAGAGAGAGAGAGCGCGCACAAGTGAGCGAGGGGCAAAGAGATGGGACCTTGCTTTCTTCCTTTCTTTCGTCTCCACACCCAGTGTGGGCCTTAAACTCACAACCTGGAAATCAAAAGTCCTACGCTTTCCCGACTGAGCCAGCCAGGCACCCCTAAATGTGTATTGTTTTCAGCCACCAAATTTATGATAATTTGCCCCAGCAGGCATAGGAGTTAATAGAGTCCTTATCTGAGAAATAGGATCTCCAGCCCAGCCTCATGAGGAAGGCCAAGGGCCACGGGGTTTGGAGTGGAAGAGGATGCCCACACCTGCCCCTGCCTCTCCCCTGCTCACCTTCTTTCTGCAGGTCCTCAACACCCCCAGCACAAACCCCCTCCCTCCACCTGGCCTGAGCCGTGTTTTTCTGATCTCCTGGAGCTCCATCTAGTGGCTGTGGAGATAATAGCAGCAGTCATTTGAGTCCATTTCTGGCCTTGGACTCCGTCCCTGAGGGATGTTTTTGCCGCTTATTTCTAGAATATTCTAGAAACTGTCCATTTTCCCCCAGTCCCGCTGCTATCCTAGTTTTAATGCTCATCATTTCTCACCGCCAGTTCCTCACTGGGCTCCTTGCTTCTGCCTTCCAAGTTCACCGGCCAGACTCTTCAACCTAGCACTCTTAACATTTGGGGCTGAAATATTGTGAGAGAAGTCTGGTGCATTGTATGATGTTTTAAAAAAGTTTTTTTAATGTTTATATTTATTTTTGAGAGAGACAGAGACAGAGCGCAAGCAGGGGAGGGGCAAAGAGAGAGGGAGACACGGAATACAAAGCAGACTCTGAACTTCAATGACCGTGAGATCATGACCTGAGCCAAACTTGGATGCTTAACCGACTGAGCCACCCAGGCGCTCCCATTGTATAGTGTTTAGCCGCATCCCTGGTCTCTCCCCACTCGATGCCTGTAGACCTACCCCTGTTGTAGCAACCAGAAATGCCCTCAGACATTGACAGTGGCGTCCTGTGGGCCACAGTCTCCCCACGTTAAGAACCCTGCTGTACCCTCTGTTCCCCACATAACAGCTGTGTTTATTCCCTGTGCTGCCCAGGAACGAATTACCTCAAACTTAGCAGCTGAAAACAACATGAAATTCTTATCTTACAGTGTAGATCACACCTTACCGGGTGTGTGAGGTTGCTGTGGCTGCTGTGACAAATTACCACAGACTCAGTGGCTTAAAGCAGCAGAGATGGGGGCCACCTGGCTGCCTCAGTCCTTAGAACACGCAACTCTTGATCTGAGAGTTGTGAGTTCGAGTCCTACGTTGGGTGTCGAGATGACTTAAGATTTTTTTAATTAAAAAACAACAGAAATGTATTCTTTCTCTGTTCTGGAGGCCAGAGGTCCAAAATCAGTATCCCTGAGCCAAAACCTTGGTTTTGGCAGAGCTGTTCTCTTTAGAGGCTATGGGGGAAACCTCCTTGCCTCTTCTAGCTTTCGGAAGCTACCAGCCTTCAGCTTGTAGATATGTCACTCCAGCTTCTGCCTCCATTGTCACACGGCCTTCTCCCTGTGTCTCTCTGTATCTTCTCTGTGCCCTTCTTCTAAAGATACCACTCATTTGGATATAGAGCCGACACTAATCTGGTAGGACATCGTTGTAACTAATTAAATCTACAAAGTCCTATTTCCAAATAAGTTCACATTCCGACATTCTGGGTGGACATGAATTTTCTGGGGGGATACTATTCAGCTCAGTGTAGTATCGCTATCTCTAGCTTACAGGGGAGGAAATGGAGGCACAGAGAGGCTAAGCAACTTGCCCAAGATCACACAGCCAAGTGGAATTTGTTCACACACCAGAGCCTGGATTTGAACCCTGGACAAAACAATTAGAGACCCAGAGCTCTTTACTACCTAGCTGTATTGCTGTCCGTAGTCCACCTCATATGTTGTTCCTTATTGCTTATACCTCCAAGATCTTTATTTTTAAGTGATCTCTGTATGCAATGTGGGGCTCAAATTCACAACCCCCAGATTAAGAGTCCACCTACTGAGCCAGGCAGGTGCTCCTGTTCCTCCGAGATCTTGAGATTGTGGAGGACTCAAAAGATGTGGGTCAAAGCCAAGGAGTGCTTAGCTGTCTCAGTCAGAAGAGTGTGCAACTCTTGATCTCGGGGTCATGAGTTCGAGCCCTGTGTTGGGTGTAGAGATTACGTAAATAAACTTGAAAAAAATAATCATTACTGCGTAACCATCCTAATCTCCTTTGAGCAAATAGAGGCGGCTCTGTTATGGGACAACAGTGGGTCACAGAGATCAAGAACTGAGCTCAGGACATGGAGCCCAGGACTGGATGGAGGTTGGGGTGGCCCTTGACCATGTTCAAGGCTGAGGGCTTGGAATTTGGAGGTTGAAAATGAGGGCCTGTGCGCGGCGGTGAGATGAGAATGACCGTCTGCCTTTCCCCAGGCCACCCGAGACCTTGCCCAGTACGACGCAGCCCATCACGAAGAGTTCAAACGCTACGAGATGCTCAAGGAACATGAGAGACGCCGTTATCTGGAGTCACTGGGAGAGGAACAGCGAAAGGAGGCAGAGAGGAAGCTGGAAGAGCAACAGCGGCGGCATCGAGAGCACCCCAAAGTCAATGTACCTGTAAGGACCCCCTTTTGTGCCCACCCCATAACCAAGTTCAATTCTCCAAGCGCCGTTAAGATGAACAAGTAGCTAAAGAACTACAACTCCCAGCAGGCCCTGAGGCTAAAAGTCCCTTTAAATATGCCCAGCCACTCCAGGGACTGCTGGGAGTTGTAGTTTTGGGGGTTTGTTTTGGTTGGTTGGGTTTTTTTCACTCTCTTGCTTGAGGGAAATGACATTTGAGGGATGGGGGCAGACCCAGACTTCTTCCTCATGAGCCCATGGCTCTCCCTTCCACAGGGCAGCCAAGCCCAGTTGAAGGAGGTGTGGGAGGAGCTGGATGGATTGGACCCCAACAGGTTTAACCCCAAGACCTTCTTCATACTGCATGGTAAGGTGGGGAGGGAGCCCCAAGACCCAGGCTGAGCCCTGAGCCTCTGACCTTTCTGAGGCCTGAATACTAAGGAGGGAGCTCAGGCAGCGGGGCTCAGGCAGGCCAGAGAGATCTGAGCCCATCTCGCCTGCTGGTCTAGAAGGCTACACCTCTGCCCAGGGCTGGGATCTTCTATAGAAGAGCTAGTCCTCCTTTTTGGGACACACCAGACTTCTCGGTTCTCGGAACTGGCCGATGTCCACCAAGTAAGTGATCCAGGCTTGGCCAGGCCTGGGCCCCAACTCCCACAGCAGCCCAGGAGCCCTATTGCCAAGGGTGGACTGCGCCGTCATTGCTTCTGGGACCTAGGTCCCCTTCATTTTCTTCCCATCTAGAAACATAGCTTGCGGTTGCCAGGCCGTCTCAGATGTGCCTTGGACCCTGTCTAACCCTAACCCTAACCCTAACCCAGAAGCTGCAGGCGGTCAGCAGGGCTTAACAGGGCATGACTCATTCGTTCAGCTAACATTTACTAAGCTCTGTCTAAAGACCAGGCTTCATGGAGACCTCATGGGTACCGCTGTGAACAAAACAAAGTGCCCCCTCTCACAGAGCCAGTGATCAGGCGAACAGCTCACCCTGTTTTTCAGTGACTGATTCTGTCTCTGTGAATTTGACTGTCCTAGCTCCTCCACATAAATGGAATCCTCTAGCATCTGTCTTTTGTGTGACTGGCTTGTTTTATGTAGCATCATGCCGGAGAACTGAATTCCTCATTGTACGTGATCGTTATTCATTTAAGTCTCACGTGTCCCCTGTGGCTAGTGTCTGCCATATTGGGTGGTGCAGCTCTAGAGAGTTGACATTTGAACTTAGACCTCAGTGAAGGGAGGTTGAACCTTGCAGATATTGGGGGGAAGAATGTTCTCGGTGGAGGAACAGCAGACACACACAGGGAAGAGGGAATGTGGGTTTCCAAGGTAACAGCAGCCCGTGTGCTCCGAGCCTTCTGGCCGGGTTAAGGAATTTGGATTTTATCCACTTTGGGATCGGACACCACAAAAGGGTTTTGAGTAGAGGACTGATACCATCTGCCTTAAGGGTTGACAGAATCCAGCTGGCTGCTTGTGTGGAGGACGGGCTTCACAGGGCCAGGGTCAAACCCAGGAGAAGGCTGGAGACGCTGGTGGCTGCCCCATGGGAAGGAGGGAAGAGTGATTGGATTCTGGATTTATCTGGAAGGTCAAGCTGGTAGGACTCACAGATGGACTGGATAAGGAGTATGAGTGAACAAAAGGGTCAAGTTGACTCCAAGGTGTTTGGCCCCAGCAACTGGAAGGATGGATGAGGAAGAGCAAACATACTTGGCAGGGGAACTTGGAAGCCATGTCTGTTCAGGTCAAGTTGGAGATGTCTGTTGGACATTCACGCGGAGATGAGAGTTGGGGGTCGGGTATTCAGGGGTCGAGGCAGCTCGTGGATGGCACTGGAAGCCGAAGGGTTGGAGGAACCCATCTTGCAGAAGCGCTGGCCCATCAAACTAGTTTTGTAACGATGGAGAATGTTCCGTCCCACCAAAGATGGCAGCCACCAGCTACATGCAGCTACTGAATGCTTTACATGTACGAAGTGGGACTGATTAAGATTTTTATCTTAATTTAAATTTAGGGGCGCCTTGGGCGGCTCAGTCGGTTGAGCATCTGCCTCTTGATCTCAGCTTAGGTCTTACTCTCAGGGTCATGAGTTCAAGACTCACATTGGGCTCCATGCTGGGCGTGAAGCCTACTTAAAAAAGTAATAATAATTACACGTAAATAGACTATAAAGCTAGTGGCTACCAGGTTGGACTTGAAGATTAGCTGGACAAGAGGTCCCAGAACTGAGCTCTGGGTGCACCAATATGTAGCATTCAGGAGGAGGACGGAGCCAATGAAGGAGAATGAGGGCATCTGGAGAAAAGAGAATGATGTTCTAGAAGCCAAGGGCAGAAAGTCCAGTAAAATGTGAATTAAAAATTAACCATCGCCACGGCCCCTGGCTGGCTCAGTCGGTGGAGCGTGCAACTCTTGATCTCGGGGTTGTACACTTGAGCCTCACGTTGGGTGTAGAGATTGCTTTCAAATAAAATCTTTAAAGAAATTAACCATTGGATTTGCAAGGTCAGAGTTCTTGGCCATCTCTGAAGGACCAGGGTGGGTGCTGATCTGAGTGAGCAGAGGAAGGTAGACAGTGAACATGGCCCGTGTGGCTGAGAGGCCTGGAGCCCTGTAGCTGTAGAAGCTGAAAGGCAGGTAGAGGTGCCTCTGGCCTGGTTCTCTGGGCCCCTGACACCCTGGATCCTGGGCAAAGGGGTTGATCCTGTGACCAGATCACCAGGTGTTAGGGATCAAATCATCTTGAGTGACAACTGCCCCGAGGACCGTCCTGGTGAAGCCCACCTTCATTTACTCCATTCTTAGGGCCCCGGTTGGTAGGGAACGGGCTGACCTAGTGATGGGCCAATGGGATACTGAAGGTGGAAGGTATCACTCTATCGTTGGAGACCTAAGGATACCTGGCCTCTGATAACAGAGCCCACACCAGCCCCAAATTCCTTCTCTAGAAGGTTCCTCAGGGACCCGACCCACCCTGTACTCAGTCTCCCAAGATGCCTTGTTGTCTCCCCCTCAGATATCAACAGCGATGGTGTCCTGGATGAGCAGGAGCTGGAGGCCCTCTTCACCAAGGAGGTGAGCATCTTGGAAGCCATGGGTGCAGAGGAAGCCCAATCAGCTATATGTCCCCTTAGGTCCCCTGCACATCCTGGGGAAACTACAACTCCCAGCAGCCCCTGGAACAAAAAGAGGCTGCCGGGAGTGCCGGGGTGCCCCGAGGACTGCTGGAAGTTGAAGTTGCCTGCTTGTGTGTGTCAAGAAGTGGAGTAGCCTGGGAGGGAGGTTGCCCTGGACCCCTCAATGTGTCCTGCCTCTCACTTGCCCCCGCAGCTGGAGAAGGTGTATGATCCCAAGAATGAAGAAGACGACATGCGGGAGATGGAGGAGGAGCGGCTTCGCATGAGGGAGCACGTGATGAAGAACGTGAGAGGAGGGCCCGGGGACCACGGGGACGGTGGGGGCAGGGCTGGACGGGGGCCCAGCTCTGTCACTTACCCTGGCTCCCTAGGTGGACACCAACCAGGACCGCCTCGTGACCCTGGAGGAGTTCCTCACATCTACCCAGAGGAAGGAGTTTGGGGACACCGGCGAGGGCTGGGAGGTGAGCACGGGGGGATTCTCTGGGTCCTGGCTACCTCTGTGCCCCCAGCCCTGAGGCTTCGTTTACTGTCTGGGTCCCCTACCCTGGGTCTCTGCCTCCTCTGTCTCTGGGTTGTCTCCGTGCCGCCTCTGGGTCCCTGTTCTCCCCTTTCTCTGGGTCTTTATCCCCCTCCCCGGCTTGCACTCAGGCGTCCCCCGTCGCACGCATGGCCCTGGCCTCCCAGCCTCCCCCACACCTCCTCTGCTAGCGGTGCCCTCTCGGGCGTGAGTGGCCCCAGGCTGGCATCGGCCCGCTGACGGCCCCTGTCCCCTGCCCGGCAGACAGTGGAGATGCACCCTGCCTACACGGAGGAGGAACTGAGGCGTTTTGAGGAGGAGCTGGCGGCCCGGGAGGCAGAGCTAAACGCCAAGGCTCAGCGCCTCAGCCAGGAGACGGAGGCCCTAGGGCGCTCCCAGGGCCGCCTGGAGGCCCAGAAGAGAGAGCTGCAGCAGGTGACTGGCCGGGGAGGCTGGACCCGTCCTCTGAGTCTCTGGTGGTCTTTGTCTCGGGTGTTCAGAGGCTGGGAAGGCCCGTGGCCACTGTGTTCATCACTGGTAGAGCCTCGGGTGGCGACCGCCATCTTGAGTAAGGGCAGACGTGGTCCGCGTCCCCGACGGTTCTGTGGCTGCCATGTTGGATAAGGGCGGTGGCGCTGTAAGCAGGAAGGGAGGAAGAGGAGGCCAAGAACAGGGCGGGTTAGTTAGACTCAGCCCAGTTTCAGGGCCGGCTTCCCTGTCCCAAAGGATGACCCGAGCCGTGACCGAGGAGGGAGAGCTGGATCTTTTTAACTGTTATTAAGCTCAACTCAAGGGAGAAAAAAACAGGCCCATAGAGAAGGGGCTGGTTCACCACCACGGAGACTCGGTGCCTTACCCCCTGGCCTGTGCCATCTCCCCCACCCCCTGCAGGCCGTGCTGCAAATGGAACAAAGGAAACAGCAGCAGCAGAGCCACAGTGGCCCAGCCCCCGGCCCCGAGGGACAGCTCAAGTTCCACCCGGACACAGGTGCTCTGGGCCCCGGGCCACAGGGCGGGAGCGGGAGCGGGTAGCCGACCCCTGGGTCTGAGGGAGGAAGAGGTGGCAGAGACGTCTGCTGCTACCATTTCCCCCCTCCGTTTCCAGATGATGCGCCTGTCCCAGCTCCAGCCGGTGACCAGAAGGACGGGGACACTTCAGAGAAGAAGGTTCCTGATCAGCGCCCTGAGCTGCCCCAGTTGAATACCCAACACCTGTGATCCTCCTGGGACACCCCCCCCCCCCCCCCCCCCCCCCCCCGCCCAGCCGCACCCCCGATACATACACTCTGGGTTCCTGACGGGAAGGAGATGAGGAGTCTCAGTCCACCCCCTCTGGGGGCCAGTCCCATGCGGTGGCCTCCTGGGGGAGGGGAGGGCAGGGCGCCCACATCTGTCACCTCCGCCTCCACAGCCTCCCAGTCTGCGGCCACTTCTTGCCCGTCCCCTCCGAGGACTTACCTTCTCAGCTCTGTTCGGGGCCCTCACTGGGCCACCCTAACTTAGGGAAGCCCTCTCCCTCCAGGAAGGGTGTGCTTCGGGCCTGCCTCCCTAGACGGTAAGGCCTCAGCTGCGCAGGTTGGGGCCTCTGTGTCCCCACAGCTGCTGGAATTCTGCCTGCTGCCCAGCTTCTGTTGGTTTGCGAGGCTTGGGTGGTCCTTCGAGAGCTTTCCCTACCTTCCCCTTGCTGGGGTGTGAAAGCAGCAGAGTGCTCAGCCTAGCTGATTCGCTGGTAACTAGGACCCTGGTCTTCCAGTTGCCATGGCCTGGCCTCCGCTGGGCTCCTTGCCCCTCCCCCCCACAGTCCCAGAAGGGCCCTGGATCCAACCCTGCCCCAGGGTCAGGTTCCAGGCCCTCAGCCTCCTGTGGGGGGCCTCACCCTTTCTGGCCTTCTCTCCTACATCTCCCAGGTCTGCTCTCTCCTCCCGTTCCATCCAAATACAATTTCTGGAACAATCTATGCATCTGTCTTTGCATATGCTGTTCCCTCTGAAATCCCATCCCCAATTCACCTGCTAAAGTCCCCTCCTTTGTCTTTTTTTTAAGTTGTTTTATTTTATTTTTAAAGTTCATTTATTTTTGAGAGCGAGAGAGTGCACAAGTCAGGGAGGGGCAGAGAGAGAAGAGACAGAATCCCAAAGAAGCTCCTCGCTGTCAGTGCAGAGCCCGATGAAGGGCTCGAACTCCCAAACCGTGACATCATGACCTGAGTCAAAATGACGAGTTGGACGCTTAACCCACTGAGCCACGCGGGGCCTCAAGTCCTCGTTCTTTAAAATTCAATCCAAGCGTAATATCTGAGAGGCTCCAACCTGGCATCTTTTTGTCCTCTCCTGATGTGTCCAATGTGAGCGCACGCACACACACACACACACACACACACACACACACACACACGCCAGCAGGATCTTGGCCACAAGGATAGAAAGGCTTAGTAAGGGGGCGCCTGGGTGGCAGAATCGGTTAAGTGTCTGACTCTTGATCTTGGCTCAGGTCATGATCTCACCATCTGTGAGTTCAGCCCCGCATCGGGCTCTGCGCTGACAGCACAGAGCCTGCTTGGGCTTCTCTCTCTCCCTCTCTCTCTCTGCCCTTCTTCCATTTGTGTCCTGTGTGCACACACGTGCTCACACACCCTCTCAAACTGAACTTAACAAAAAAAAAAGGCTTAATGAGGGAAAGTATTATCTCCCAACCCAAGACCTCCCAAGGTAGGGTGCCTCGAGGCCCTGCAGGGAACCACGTTCTCCCATGTCCTCGCTCCCCGGTAGTAGATGGGGGGCTGCTCTCCTCTTGTGCTCAGAGTGGCTGCAGCTGCCCCGGATGTTACACCTGCTGCACCAGCAGCTGAGGAAGGAAATTAACAAGCGACAAATCAGAGCCGCCTCCTACCCCCTCCCCACCAGAGCCTTCTGATCAGCGCACCACTGGGCAGGTCTGGCTGGGCATCCACAAAAAGGAAGAAATGTGAAGGAGACTCCGATGATGAAAATTACCCGAGGAGACAGAGAAGGCTTTGTGTGGGGCACAAAGGGCCAGCAGATCGGTGGGAAGGGTCAGGCCCCGCCAGGCCAGGACCGGGGGCTCCGCATGCGGCAGCTGCCCCTGGGTGCCCCTGCCACCAGGGAACGTCCCTTCGAGCCCATTGGCCTGGAGGCAGCCGGCAGGCATCCTGGAAGAGGCAGCAGTGCAGGGAGGGGCCCAACACACACACTTGACCCTGGTCTGGGGAGTGGCGGCCTGGCCCCTTGTCTACTTTCAGAACTCCCCTGGGGCTGCAGGTCAGGGCCCTGGCAGGCAGCAGCTGCGGGCATGAGGGCCCAGAGGGGCACCAAGGGAAGGTCACTGTCCGATTTGACCACCAGGGGGCGCCTGGGTGGCTCAGCCGGTTAAGCGTCTGACTTTAGCTCGAGTCATGATCTCACGGTTCATGGGTTCGAGCCCCGCATTGGGCTCTGTGCTGATGGCCAGCTCAGAGCCTGGACCCTGTTTCAGATTCTGTGTCTCCCTCTCTCTCTGACTCTCCCCTGCTCCCACTGCCTCTCTCTCAGAAATAAATAAAACATTAAAATAAAAAAAAAAAAACAAACAGAAAAGAAGTTTGACCATCAGGAGCTCCGGAAACGCTCCATAGGAGTGGATCCTGGAGCCTCGCCTTTCCCACTGGCAGGAAGAGGAAATCCCGAGTTGGAGACTGATGTCGAGCTGGGTCTAGTCGCTGCTGGTGACTGTTACAAGACCTGCACCCTTCATCTCTGGCCTGGGGCCCTCTTCCCTGTCCCACTCAGACTTCCTTTTGGGGGATTTTTCAATTGTTATTAAACTGATGAGACTTAACTTTTTTTTTTTTAATTTGAAAGACTCATTAGCAATACAAATTCCCAGAGCCTGAAATGTCCTACGGAGGGTTCTGGAAGTTGTGTAGCATGCCATGCCCCTCAGCTTACACCCCAACAATGACCACAAGCATCAGCTTCTGGGAGACTGGGAGCTGAACCTCACTGAGCCGATCTGGAAAATGGCATTAAATGGCAGACTTCTTTGAAGGATCCGATAATCATACACATGAATAGCATGGCTCCTGGCTTGAAATCTAAGATCAGCAAGCACTAGTTTGTTATTATATGGACACATTTGTACAATGAGAATCCCCAAGGGCCTGTCCCTGACTTCCATATGGAAGGAGACCCATTCCAGCTGCTCAAGATGCTTTTCACGTTTTGCAATTATTTTATTTATAAGCGTCTGCTTGAATACTCTGTCTCCCCAGGCAGACTCTAAGTTCTGAAAGGGGTGAGGAGAGGGAGGCTCATGTCAAGTCTCCATTCCCATACAGCAGAGTGCCCAGCACACATGGTCAAGATCGAAGTCACCTCTTTCCTAGGCAACCTCCACCCCATATGGCTTCCTGCCTGTGTTTTTGTTCTAGTTTTATTATTTTTTAAGTTTTTTATTAAAATATGTTCTTAATGTTTCTTTTTGAGAGAGAGACAGAGATAGAGTGCAAGCAGGGAAGGGGCAGAGACAGAGGGAGGGAGACACAGAATCCGAAACATACTCCAGGCTCTGAGTGGTCAGCACAGAGCCCATTGTGGGGCCCGAACCTATAAGCTGTGAGATCATGACCTGAGTTGAAGTCGGACACTCAACCGACTGAGCCACCCAGGCGCCTCCAGTTTTAAATAAATAGGACTATTTTGACCCTTTATGTTTAATCGGAAAATGATTTCTCTAATACTACTATTGCTATTATAGCAGCGACGAGACGCTAATACACAGTAGCTAATGGTTCTAGAGCACTTACAGTGTGGCAGCTGCCATCCAAGCACGTTATATATTGTATAATTTTTTTAAGTTTATTTATTTATTTTGAGGGAGACAGAGACAGCGTGAGTGGGGGAGGAGCAGAGAGAGGGAGAGAGACAGAGAACCCCAAGCAGACTCCGCACTGTCAGCACAGAGCCCCCACGCAGGGCTCGAACCCACAAAAGCGTGAGATCGTGACCTGAGCCAAAACCAAAAGTCAGACTCTTAACCTACAGAGGCCCCCCTCCAGCCACCCCTGATATATATTATAAACAGCAGTTCATTTCATCTTCATAAAAACCCTGTGAGGTAATTACCCTCATCAACCTCATTCTATAGATGAAGCAAATAAGAGAAGCCTATTGATTCGCCTGAGATCCCACAGCTAATCAGCGGCAGGGCTCTGATTGAATCCCCGGCAGGCTGGATCCAAAGTTCATGCTCTGAAGTATCATGTTAAGTTCTTTTGGGCACGGAATCTGTGCAAATAAATAAATAAATAATAAAATAAAATAAAATTCTCATGAATAAGTGAGTTAATGAGGGGTGCCTGGCTGGCTCAGTCAGAGCATGGGACTCTTGATTTTAGGATCGTGAGTTCAAGCCCCATGTTGGGCATAGAGGTTACTTTAAAAAAATGTTCGGGGGGTCACCTACGTGGCTCAGTTGGCTAAGCGACCAACTTTGACTCAGGTCATGATCTCATGGTCTGTGAGTTCGAGCCCCAGATCGGGCTCTGTGCTGACAGCTCAGAGCCTGGAGCCTGCTTGGGGTTCTGTGTCTCCTTCTTTCTCTGCCCATCCGCTGCTCTCTCACTCTCTCTCTCTGTCTCAAAAATAAACATTAAAAATTTTTTTTAATAAATGAGTTAATGAATAAATGCTCTGCTCTCTGCCTGGCACGCTGTCGACCCATCTGTTACATGAATGACAGTTAATGTGTGACCTTTAGTTTCACAGGTATTTTTTTTCAAACCCTATTTATCTCCTCCTTTACTCTCACCTTCACACTCCTTCGCCTGCAGGGTGAGCTCCTTGACCCTTCACAAATGGTCCAGTTGACCCCTCCAGGTTTATCTTTCACACATTTTACCCACTCCCATCCTGGATTCCAGATTCTCACTTTTTTTTTTTTTTTAAGTAAATGCCTTACTTAAATGACATGGGCTTAAATGACATGGGCTTCAGCTCAATGACCCCAAGATCAAGAGTCCCGTGCTCTACCTTAATGAGTCCCCAGATGCCCCCAGGCTCTCACTTCTGAATCCATCCAGCTTTCTCTTACTGGAAGGAGTGGTTTTCTCTGGAATGCTATCTCTCCTTCTACTCCTTCTAAATCTCCACCAAAATCTTTCAAAAATGCAGGGACGCCTGGGTGGCTCAGTCAGTTAAGCATCTGACTCTTGATCTCAGCTTAGGTCTTGATCTCAGGGTCATGGGTTCAAGCCCGGTGTTGGGCTCTCCACCCTGGGAATGAATACTACTTTAAAAAAATCTGCTTGGAGGATGCCTGGGGGGCTCAGTCGGTTAAGTGTCCAGCTTGGGCTCAGATCCTGATCTCGTGAGTTCAAGCTCCGCGTCAGGCTAGGTGCTAACAGCTCTGAGCCTGGAGCCTGCTTCAGATTCTATCTCTGTCTCTCTGTCCCTCCCCTGCTCAGGCTCTGTTTGTCTCTCGAATATAAAATAAAACATAAATAAATGAAAATAATAAAAAACAATTAAAAAATCAGCTTGGGCATCACTTCATCTGCCCAGCCTTCCCTGGTCCCCAGGTTGAGCTAAGGGTAACCCCATTCCCACCACCTGCGTCTACACTGCCTAGCATTTCCACCATATGGCATGAGTCCTGGATTGTGCACTACACACAGCCCCTCAGGAGCTGTGTGTGAGTTTCCTGCTACAACAAAGTAACACAAACTTGAGGCTTAAAGCAAGAATGTATCACCTTGCAGTTCTGGAGGTCAGAAGTATAAAATGAGTCTTGCTTTGTATAAATCAAAGTGTGAGCTTCCGCACCAGAACTTTCCAGGACTTGCTGGAAACATCATGTACAGACCTTGGAGGAAGTTGAAGTTGTGGGGAGAACAGTCTGCAGGGCTGCATTCCTTCTGGAAGTTCTGGAAGGGGGAGAATCTGTTTCCTTGTTTTTCCAGCT